GGTCCACCACCCAAAGCACATCCAGCCAACTTGACACAGCTGTGGGAATCATTGGAGTCAACACGGGCCAGCATCCATGTGGAACGCTTAAGACACCTTGTAGAGTCCATGCCCAACAAATGTAGGCTGTTCTGAGGGCAAAATGGGTTGGGGGGGGGGGGGGGGGGGGGGGGGGGTTGCAACTAGGAAGGTGTCCTTAATGTTTTGTACACTCAGTGTATATATATATATATATATATATATATATAATATGCCATAACATCTTAGTAAATACTATATACCAGTTCAAATAGGAGTGCAAAATAAAGCATTACCCCCTCCTCTCCCAGACCCAGCCGGCCAGACCCAACCCCAACCACAGAGCAGAATCCCCTCCCTCTGGCCCAAGCCAGAGACACAACTAAACAGGATCAGGAATGCCTTTAAAGCCCAAATAGAAACACATACACAGACACACAGACACAGACACACGCACACGCACACACACACACACACACATACACACACACAAACACACACACACACATACAGTCCTACCATAGCAGCATCACCCTTTCAGAAGGAAATGCACAGAGGGGAGAAAAAGAGTGTAAGATGAGAAGGCTGTCTGGTCTGCCTCGTTGGACCGCTCTTCTGTTTGTTGGACCAGAGCTCTGCTCATTGGGACTTCTGGGTCCTGGATGTGAATGAAAAGGTAGAAAATACACACAGACGCACATACGCATTAACACACATATTCTTGTTTTTCTCATGTACAGACAGCAGCCCCAGACAGATACATGTAGGAGAGGAAGCAACTCAAGATCAGTAGAGAAGCGGAGAGTGACGGGGTCAGGGAGGTTGTGGGCAGTGAGGTGTTCCTATTTCCACTTGGCGTGTCTGTGGGTTGGCTTTGGGGTGAGATAAATACCTTTCACTGCTGTAAAGTTACCCATGAGTGACTGACACGCAGTGCACAACCTGCTACATGCAAACACACGCACACTTTCACCTATGCACCACACACACACAGATCGGATGCTGTAAAAAGTATGTGAATTGTTGGACTTCCTTGAGGAAGAATGGTGTAACATTCCTCAGATAGCCTGTCCCTATCTGTGTTGACTCCTGTTCACAATGTCACCATTGCAGCCCAACATCGGAAGACCTAAGAGGACCTCTGTTAGGCTAGGAGTTTATCACGACTACATGAACTGACCAGGAAGGGATATCCCTTACAACTTGACTTACCCATACCCTCAGTATATTTTCTCACTGTAGACCTGCATTGCTGCATTAGATATTTGTGTATGTCAGTAGTTCTGTTATCATTCATACCTGTGGTTGAATCTTGTGCATGACTTTGAAATAGTAGCCTATCTATTGTAAAATGGTATGTGTTATAAATGAGGCTGCTGTTTTTCGGAGGCTTGACAGGAAACATACTGTAAAAACCCCAGAGAACCTCAGAAACAGCAACTTTTATTTATTTCTCTTCAGAAAGTATGCACTCTATGGTAAGTATGAGTAGACAGAAACACAGAATAATAGCCTCTTCAACAAATGTGTTCCATCCTTCTTCCATCAGTATTTCTCATTCACAAAGGTCAGCTGTGACAACTGATTGGATTGAACTGGCTCGCTAACTGGCCAAGCCAACTCGGAAAACTCATTCCTACTGCATATTTTGGCCAGACCAGCTCTCGGTAGAATGCTTTGGTTTGGAGGGCTGGTCTCTAACATACTGGTATTCAGCCTTCAGTATAGACTTGGACCATCAGAGCTCTGTGTTCTGTATGAGAGAGGGACAGAGTGAGGGATAGACGGTGACAGAGGGATTCAGTGAGGGAAAGAGAAGAAAAAATATATATATATACAGTGGGGAGAACAAGTATTTGATACACTGCCGATTTTGCAGGTTTTCCTACTTACAAAGCATGTAGAGGTCTGTAATTTTTATCATAGGTACACTTCAACTGTGAGAGACGGAATCTAAATCCAGAAAATCACATTGTATGATTTTTAAGTAATTAATTTGCATTTTATTGCATGACATAAGTATTTGATACATAAGAAAAGCAGAACTTAATATTTGGTACAGAAACCTTTGTTTGCAATTACAGAGATCATACATTTCCTGTAGGTCTTAACCAGATTTGCACACACTGCAGCAGGTATTTTGGCCCACTCCTCCATACAGACCTTCTCCGGATCCTTCAGGTTTCGGGGCTGTCGCTGGGCAATACGGACTTTCAGCTCCCTCCAAAGATTTTCTATTGGGTTCAGGTCTGGAGACTGGCTAGGCCACTCCAGGACCTTGAGATGCTTCTTACGGAGCCACTCCTTAGTTGCCCTGGCTGTGTGTTTCAGGTCGTTGTCATGCTGGAAGACCCAGCCACGACCCATCTTCAATGCTCTTACTGAGGGAAGGAGGTTGTTGGCCAAGATCTCGCTATACATGGCCCCATCCATCCTCCCCTCAATACGGTGCAGTCGTCCTGTCCCCTTTGCAGAAAAGCATCCCCAAAGAATGATGTTTCCACCTCCATGCTTCACGGTTGGGATGGTGTTCTTGTTTCTAGGCCTCCTTGCTCGCACATGCTTTTTCAGTTCTGCCCACAAAATGTCTACAGGATTGAGGTCAGGGCTTTGTGATGGCCACTCCAATACTTTGAGTTTGTTGTCCTTAAACCATTTTGCCACAACTTTGGAAGTATGCTTGGGGTCATTGTCCATTTGGAAGACCCATTTGCGACCATGCTTTAACTTCCTGACTGATGTCTTGAGATGTTGCTTCAATATATCCACATAATTTTCCTTCCTCATGATGCCATCTATTTTGTGAAGTGCACCAGTCCCTCCTGCAGCAAAGCACCCCCACAGCATGATGCTGCCACCCCCATGCTTCACGGTTGGGATGGTGTTCTTCGACTTGCAAGCCTTCCCCTTTTTCCTCCAAACATAACGATGGTCATTATGGCCAAACAGTTTTATTTTTGTTTCATCAGACCAGAGGACATTTCTCCAAAAAGTACGATCTTTGTCCCCATGTGAAGTTGCAAACCGTAGACTGGCTTTTTATGGCGGTTTTGGAGCAGTGGCTTCTTCCTTGCTGAGCGGCCTTTCAGGTTATGTCGATATAGGACTCGTTTTACTGTGGATATAGATACTTTTGTACCTGTTTCCTCCAGCATCTCTGTTGTTCTGGGATTGATTTGCACTTTTCGCACCAAAGTACGTTCATCTCTAGGAGACAGAACGCGTCTCCTTCCTGAGCGGTATGACGGCTGCGTGGTCCCATGGTGTTTATACTTGCGTACTATTGTTTGTACAGATGAAAGTGGTACCTTCAGGCGTTTGGTAATTGCTCCCAAGGATGAACCAAACTTGTGGAGGTCTACAAAAAAAATTCTGAGGTCTTGACTGATTTCTTTTGATTTTTCCATGATGTCAAGCAAAGAGGCACTGAGTTTGAAGGTAGGCCTTGAAATACATCCACAGGTACACCTCCAATTGACTAAAATTATGTCAATTAGCCTATCAGAAGCTTCTAAAGCCATGACATCATTTTCTGGACTTTTCCAAGCTGTTTAAAGGCACAGTCATCTTAGTGTATGTGAACTTCTGACCCATTGGAATTGTGATACAGTGAATTATAAGTGAAATAATCTGTCTGTAAACAATTGTTGGAAAAATTACTTGTGTCATGCACAAATTAGATGTCCTAACCGACTTGCCAAAACTATAGTTTGTTAACAAGAAATTTGTGGAGTGGTTGAAAAACAAGTTTAATGACTCCAACCTAAGTGTATGTAAACTTCCAACTTCAACTGTATATATATATATATATATACAGTTATATATATATATATATATATATATATATATATATATAGAGAGAGAGAGAGAGAGAGAGAGAGAGAGAGAGAGAGAGAGAGAGAGAGAGATCAAACAGTCAAACTACAGTAAGTGACAATATATTCAGTAATTTCAATGGCATTCTCGTAAATTCCAAGCCTTTGTAAGTACATCACTCTAACAACATATTTCTGAGACTGCATACCAATCAATTAGTATTACTTCTCACACAATCCTTACTATTACAGTCAAACTCAAACATTAGCATTGGAATTTTAACTGTGTTTTAATGCGTTAAAATGTAATTGGCTACAGTAACACAAAAGAGGACCAAAGCCAAGAAACACCATCTCCCAGTTTCAGTCCTGGCGCTCTTTGCCATGCTGTAGCTGGGTCTTGATGGAGCACCCTCATTTCCTAGGAACATCTGGGAGGGTTCAAAGTAGAAGGTCAGAGACACATCAAAGGGCTAGCCAAAAACAGCCACATTATATGATTCATTATTTTATGAAATAACAGAGAATACTTTATTTTCTGACCTCCCTATCTTGAGTAAAATGTTTACTGCTTTTTTTCTGGTGTGACTTGTAGGCTGAAAAGCATTTGTGTTTTATTCTGATCTGGTAGGTTTTTTCAGAAGCTTTCATGTCAAGTATAAATGTCCTTGTCAGATCGTTTGTCTGATCATTTGTCTGATAACAGGGCTATTAGTCATTTTGTCATTTTGCTCCGTCAGCTGTTTGAAAGCTCAGTCAGTTAGTAGTCTCATAAACCCAACCCTAGGCAACAGCACTGGAAACATTGTGGGAGCCAACGGTCTGCGGTCTGCCTAGGTCCAGTGTATCTCAGTTGGTAGAGCATGGCAAGCGCCAGGGTTGTGGGTTCGATTCCCACGGGGGACCAGTACAAAAATAGTATTAAAATGTATGCACTCAGTACTGTAAGTCGCTCTGGATAAGAGTGTCTGTGAAATGTAAATGTAGTCAGTTAGCAGTGTTGTTGTAAGATTACCACATCTTGCAATATATACTTTTTGTTCATTTTCTATGGTTTAAAAAGGCTGGCCCATGGTTGAGTGTTGAGTGACTGGTTGTTGTCAGCTGTGGGCTGCACTGTCGTTGTAATGCATTGCTATTTAGTGTCCAGCAGGTGGAGCCAGAGCAATGCAAAGGTGTATCAGGGTATGAATCCCTTTCTATTGGGAAAAGCTTTCATAGTTCCAGCCATATGGCAAGTATTTTATTGTCATATATGTATGTTTGACTTCGTATTTGGTTGAAAAATACATACTGACTGTGAATTAGACTTTTTAATCAATTGATCAATTAAGTGATTGTCTAACAGAGTTCTCCTCTGCTGTCTTCCCCAGGCCATGGCTGTGCCTTCCCTCTCAGCCCCTCTCCCTCTCCTTGTGGCTTTGCTTCAGCTTGCAATACTACCTCTCGTCCACGCGGGGGCATACTACGGACACAAGCAGCACCAGCAGCACCCCCAGCAGCACCAGCCTATGCCACACTTGTCCCACATTGGCATGGGCGGCAAAGAGCAGCACCCACAGCAGCAGTGGCCAGGCAAGGAGATGCCCCACATGCAGTACCCCCAGTACAGAAAAGAGATCCCCCAGATGCCCATGCACATGGGCAAGGAGTACCCCCGTAAAGGTGGGGTAGTCAACGGTGGACAGGACAAAGGTGAGACCGAATGGCAATCTCTAGTATGGAGTAGGCCAATAGTATGTTGTTTATGTTGAGATTATGTAAATCTTCAATGTTCATTACCTAACCTAACTCTAGTTAGGACACACACACAAACACACACACACGCAGATTGTACCTCATTTTGCTCTTGTACTGAATTTTGTATTATGACTGCCATCTTGCAATGTTTAGACTGAATGGACATCTTATCCCCTACAGGTCAGACCATCCCCAGTGGGGCAGCAGGAGGTCTCCCTGGAGGCCTGCCAGGAGAGCAGGGCCCAGCTGGGCCTCCGGGACCTGAGGGACCCGCTGGGCCACCAGGACCTCCTGGGGAAGGACAGCCAGGAGTTGAAGGAAAACCAGGCCCCGCTGGTCCCCCAGGATTCCCTGGTGTAGGCAAACCAGGACTCCCGGGAATTCCAGGCAAGCCAGGTGGCATGGGAGAGCCAGGAGTACCTGGAGAGCTGGGCCCCAGTGGTGGAGAGGGTCAAATGGGGCAGCCAGGGACTCAGGGCCCCCCTGGTCCTCCAGGTTTGCCGGGGATAGGAAAACCAGGGGTTGGGGGGTTGCCAGGACAACCAGGACCCAAAGGAGAGCCAGGACATAAGGGCCTGCCGGGACTACCAGGATTACCAGGACCCAAGGGTGACAAGGGAATTGGACAGCCAGGACAGCCAGGCCACAAAGGGCCAGTAGGACCCCCTGGACCTCCAGGCCAGGGAGGGATGCCCGGCGTGGGCAAGCCTGGAATGAATGGCTTACCGGGGCCACCAGGAGGACCAGGGAAACCAGGCCCGCCTGGAGAGGAGGGGCTGGCTGGACCAACAGGAGAGGGCGGAGAGACCGGTCCACCAGGGCTGCCAGGCCAGGGAAAACCAGGCCAGAATGGTCTACCGGGACAACCAGGCATGCCCGGTGGGAAAGGGCACCCAGGCCCTCCAGGTTTGCCGGGGAAGCCTGGATTGCCCGGATTCGGAAAACCCGGATTCCCAGGACCCAAGGGAGATAAAGGGATGGGTGGGATGCCCGGAGGCCCAGGACCAAAGGGAGACAAAGGCCATGGAGGACTTCCCGGTGTGCTTGGACCGCCTGGAACAATCGGACCAGCTGGTCCCCCTGGCCCTATGGGACCCCCTGGAGGTCTGGGTCAACCAGGGCCAAAAGGAGAGGCTGGAGAGGGAGGTAATAAGGGGCTGCCAGGTGGCCAGGGTGAGCCTGGTCCTCCTGGACTGCCTGGTCAGAACGGCTTCCCTGGAGATGGAGGAGAGCCAGGGCCAAGGGGTCCCGCTGGGCCTGTAGGACCCCAGGGGGAAGGCGGACACAAAGGGTTACCAGGTGCCCCTGGCATTCCAGGCCTATCCGGGCCAAAGGGAGAGGGAGGACTTCCAGGCGACAAGGGTCCCCAAGGCCCTAAGGGCATTCCAGGTCTGGGAGGTGCAGGTGGGCCGATCGGACCTCCTGGTGCCCCTGGGTCTAAAGGTGACAGCGGATTACCTGGTCTTCCCGGCGTTGAGGGTAAGGGAAACCCCGGTGTCCCTGGTCCTCTTGGACCTCCAGGTAAAGAAGGTCCTGGAGGACCACCAGGAAACCCTGGCCAGCCAGGTCTACCTGGTCCCCCAGGCCCTCCCGGACCCCCCGCCCTCTCCCCTAACATGGGAGCAGTCCTCCCTGAGATGGGTATTCCTCCTGGGCTGGACGGAGTCAAGACTGCCGGCTATGGCAAGAAGGGCAAATACGGAGGAAACGGCGGAGAGGTGATGGGCGCTAACGGCCTGGAGATGCCCGCGTTCACGGCTCTGGTGACCACGCCCTTCCCACCAGTGGGCACGCCTGTGGTGTTCGACAAGATCCTGTACAACGGCCGTCAGAACTACAACCCCCAGACAGGCGTGTTCACTTGCGACATGCCCGGGATCTACTACTTTGCCTACCACGTCCACTGCAAAGGGGCCAATGTGTGGGTGGCGCTGATGAGGAACGATGAGCCTGTGATGTACACGTATGACGAGTATAAGAAGGGCTTCCTGGATCAGGCATCGGGGAGCGCAGTGTTACCTCTACAGCCCGGGGACACTGTGTACCTCCAGCTACCCTCGGACCAGGCCGCAGGACTATACGCTGGCCAATACGTCCACTCATCCTTCTCTGGGTACTTGTTGTACCCCATGTAACAACACAAAACTATAGAGAGGAAGAGACAGTGACAGAGAGAGAAAATGTTGGAGAAATTTAAACATTGGTTATAGAAGTCTTTAAATTGATCGCATTTTTTTTAAACATCAACTATCTGTTGAGATCGATGTTGTTGAGATCGTAAGTGATGGGAGGAAGCGTCGGACCGTCCCCGGGAAAATCTGAGAGAGGAGTGTGTGTGTGTGTGTGTGTGAGTGTACATATATGCAGTTTTTATAGCCATTTATGTTGGGGTACAACAATTTATGTATCTATCTACTGCTCTTATGACTTGTCACAATGTTACAACACTGCATTAAAAGATGCCATTACATCAATAGGGTTCACATATTGTGAAATGTAGTTATATGTATGTATCAGTTTAATTTAAAGTGCAGCACAGGCTGATGTGGAAACTCAGTAGAAGAAAGAGATAAAGCTCTTGTATTGCCACAGAGTACCATGTGTTTTCCCAAGCCCCTACATGTTCCTTTGCAAACTGGCAGCAGCCATTAATTAAACTGTGGCAAAGAATGTAAATTGAAAAACTTTTTTTTTTACTAAAGAAAACAAATTGAATGCCTAGTAAAATGGCACCTGAAATGTTGTATAACTGTACTTATAGAAAGGTAACTGAAAACCAATAGAGTTCAAGATTCAAATAAAGTGGTGCAATGGTTTATGTCACGTTTTAGTTTGTTGCGTAACTTTCTTGTTATGTTTTTGGTTGATTTGGTTGATTCTTTAACTTTTGCAGACAAGCATCATCTGTGAAGTTTAAAGAGGTGATTTTGTTGCATTAAATGGATGGCAATATCATGTATTATGGGTGTATTAGTGTTGTGCAAAGCAATGCCTCTTGTGGCAAGCAAAGAATAATGCTCCAACAGACACTGTTGTACCCAGAATTATGAAGACCACTGCTGTCATTACAAACCCTTTTCTTGCTGTACTGTATGTGTTGGTTGTCAGCTGAATAAAGCAGTAGTGTTATACTGACAGATGTATGAAAAAAGTTTGACCAAGACCCAGACCCTCATTTAGAGGGGCCTATACTTTTCTCTAAGTAAGAGATAAATTGATAATCAATTGTGATTCTTTTGAATAACATTTGAATAAGCTAATTGAATGAACGTTGGGAAAAGGTGTGTAATCCCTCTTGGCTCAGCAGTACAGAATTTAAATAATCTGATTATAGGTACTCTATGTGGAGGTTAAGATTGAAGAATAATAAATACTTTGATGTCAATCAGAGAACATGATGGCCAAACCAAACCATGAGTTAGTGAGGAGACTTATGGAATAAGGTTTCCTTGTGGAGCCCAAAGAATAAAGACAAAGAATAGAATGTCAAAAGAAAATGCCTTCCTGCATGCCCCTCCCTCTCCCCCTCCCCCACACATATGTCCCTATAACTCAGCCCTCTACCCTTACCTCACCCATCTCCCCCGCCCCTACCCTTCTACCCCCCAGGGCCCCAGCACAGTAGGCTTGATGGAGACTGATAACCAAAAATATCCTGCAGCATTTGTCACTATAATGTATTATTTTGAATACTGACCTCCTGATTTTAAATGTGCAAAGGTGGAAAGGGGGCCTATGTAATTACAAAAAACATTTGAGAAAATTGACTCCAGATATTAATTCAGTTTTCTTTCTTTATTTGAGCCCATGGTGCTAAATATTCAGTAAACCAAAAGAAACCCTGAGTTTTTCTGTTTTTACTGTTATACTGTTGATGTTGTTACTTTAAAAAATAAAGATGATTTAACTAGAAGGTCATTTGTTACTATTTTTTCAACATACACTGAGTATACAAAGCATTATGAACATTATGCTCTTTCCATAAAATAGACCAAGTGAATCAAGGTGAAAGCTATGATCCCTTACTGATGTCACTTGACGAATTGATGGTGAATATTAGGAAGGTGTTCTTAATGTTTTGTACACTCAGTGTATATCAAGACAGCTATTATTTTATTGTGTGACCATAATAAGTGCACATCAGATAAGTGCAGTTCACCAGTCCAAATGTAATAAACTAATTGTACTTGCTCCTGATCTAGGCTACAGTAAATATGCTCTGGTTTAATAATGCAGTCATTAATTATAGTCATGATCATATTGCAGCTGACTGGATATACCATATGGCGAAGAGATGAGGAAACTGTGCTGTCAGACAGATAGGCTACTGTACCTTGACTCGTTCAGATTACTATTAAAATAGTATATTATTTCTTAGATTCATCCTATAGTTTTCAGGCACATCTATAGGGGCATGTACATGTATTTCCTCGTTATAAGAGGTGCTTTCTTTTTCCGCAAAACCCCAAAACACATGTTTTGGTTTCTTAACAACAGTTCATATGTTTCCGATGCAGCCCAAATAATCAATGGACCAGTCTCGAGAAGTCTCGAAAAGGATGCTGCGAGAAAAAGCTCAGTGAAAAAAAAGGGATGCTGCGACTGATGTTCCGCGCATGCGTGCAACACATGTCACTGTCATCTATTCACCCTGTTTTTATTATGCCGAGCTACGATTATCACAATTGATAACTTCCAATTTAATTAACTAAACATGGCCATTAATAATTGCATCATAACACAAGGCTACAACAACAAACTGAGTTATAGGCTATTTATTACATCAGTTTGCCAGGTCCAGGTAGGCTACACAAGTGACACAAATTGATTTGCAATGACTCCAGTGATATCGTAATTTCAATATATATATATATGTATTGTATCAAACGGTAGACTACAGTAGCCTGCAATAGCATATAAATGTATAGCCTACTTGATGGCCAACAGATGCAAATGTAGCCTATCATGCTCCACATTTAATGTCATTTTCATTGCGGACTTTTTCCCATAATACAAGCACGCGAGGGAGTTCCATAACTTCCATTTCAAATTTCTACTCGCGTAGCGCTCCAGAACCCCTAGAACTCAGCATGAGTAAAAACCTAGCTTGATACTGTTATCCATAAGAAAAGTCGACATTAGAATGCGGTTGATTTTAACCACCTCTGAGTGAATTTATCTAAAGAGCTCTAGTGCGCCTAAAGTCATTTTCCAATGCTTTGTCGCCGTTATATCAGTTCTAACGCGTTAATATGTTTTATGGAAAAAGGGTGTCGAGTTAAATAGCCTACCTACAACTGGTACACGACGTGTGCGCGTGCTACTCTGTCTCCGTGACTGAGCCGCCTCTGCGGTAGCACTCTCTCAACCAGTGCTCTCAAAGCACACACACCCCTCCGGCCCTCCCCCTCTCCACAATTCACTCACTCAGTTACAGCCTGCTCACTGCCTGATAGTCAGCAGCAGCAGGTCACAGTGAAATACATATATACAGTGCCTTCGGAAAGTATTCAGACCCCTTGACTTTTTCCACATTTTGTTACTTTACAGCCTTATTCTAAAATGTATTAAACACATACAAATCCTCAGCAATCCACACACAATACCCCATAATGACAAAGTGAAAACAGGTTTTTAGAATTTTTGCACATTTAATTAAATAAAAAAACGGAAATACCTTATTTACATAAGTATTCAGACCCTTTGCTATGAGACTCAAAATTGAGCTCAGGTGCATCCTGTTTCCATTGATCATCTTTGAGATGTTTCTACAACTTGATAGGAGTCCACCTGTGGTAAATTCAATTGATTGGACATGATTTGGAAAGGCACACACCTGTCTATATAAGGTCCCACAGTTGACAGTGCATGTCAGAGCAAAAACCAAGCCATGAGGTCAAAGGAATTGTCCGTAGAGCTCCGAGACAGGATTGTGACGAAGCAAAGATCTGGGGAAGGGTACCAAAAAATGTCTACAGCATTGAAGGTCCCCAAGAACACAGTGGCCGCCATTATTCTTAAATGGAAGAAGTTTGGAACCACCAAGACTCTTCCTAGAGCTGGCCACCTGGCCAAACTGAGCAATCGGGGGAGAAGGCCCTTGGTCAGGGAGGTGACCAAGAACCCGATGGTCACTCTGACAGTGCTCTAGAGTTCCTCGATGGAGATGGGAGAATCTTCCAGAAGGACAACCATCTCTGCAGCACTCCACCAATCAGGCCTTTAGAGTGGCCAGACGGAAGCCACTCCTCAGTAAAAGGCACATGACAGTCCGCTTGGAGTTTGTCAAAAGGCACTTAAAGACTCTCAGACCATGAGAAACAAGATTCTCTGGTCTGATGAAACCAAGATTGAACTCTTTGGTCTGAATGCCAAGCGTCACGTCTGGAGGACATCTGGCACCATCCCTACGGTGAAGCATGGTGGTGGCAGCATCATGCTGTGGGGATGTTTTTCAGTGGCAGGGACTGGGAGACTAGTCAGGATCGAGGCAAAGATGAACGGAGCAAAGTACAGAGAGATCCTTGATGAAAACCTGCTCCAGAGCGCTCAGGACCTCAGGGGTGAAGGTTCACCTTCCAACAGGACAATGACCCTAAGCACACATCCAAGACAACGCAGGAGTGTCTTCGGGACAAGTCTCTGAATGTCCTTGAGTGGCCCAGCCAGAGCCTGGACTTGAACCCGATCAACATCTCTGGAGAGACCTGAGAATAGCTGTGCAGCAACACTCCCCATCCAACCTGACAGAGCTTGAGAGGATCTGCAGAGAAGAATGGGAGAAACTCCCCAAATACAGGTGTGCCAAGCTTGTAGGTACATACCCAAGAAGACTCTAGGCTGTAGTCGCTGCCAACGGTGCTTCAACAAAGTACTGAGTAAAGTGTCTGAATACTCATGTAAATGTGATATTTCAGGGTTTTTTAAATTATAAATTAGCAGAAATTTCAACAAACCTGTTTTTGCTTTGTCATTATGGGGTATTGTGTGTAGATTGATGAGGGGAAAAACATTTTTTATCAATTTTAGAATAAGGCTGTAACGTAACAAAATGTAGAAAAAGTCAAGGGGTCTGAATACTTTCCGAAGGCATGTATAAAAAATAAATAAAGAGAAATGCAATGGCGGCCGCGGTGCAATTTTGATGTAGCCCAAAATCTGCCACCAGCGACCAATACATTTTCACCCGCGACATCGTTTTCAAAGTAGCCCAATTTGCCGGAAAACTGAGAACATGGCAACACCGGGCTCAATAGATGTAGCTACTGCTGTGCCATTCATATTTATTGATATTATATGGTTCTTGATAAAAAAAACTTCAAGAATAGAGGAGCTTCTAATATTCAATTGTTTTAGGGTAGAAATAGAAGCCTGATCATCACATCGGTGTCTGTCTGTCTGCATAATCAATTATTTGGATGAAATGCATGTGAAAAACACATAATACTCATTATTAAAGGATTAGATGTAGGCAAAAAAAATTAACATTAAATAATTGGTTTGGATGTAGACTTACTACATAGAGTCTTCTAGAATTTTTGCTGAAAATGGACACTTGGGGCTCTATTCAATCCCATAAATTTAGCCTTTTACTACAGTGGGCTAAATCAGGGTCATGCCGAGTGAGTCTTGGTAGTCTTAAACAAATCTACTTTGAAACAAAAGTATACACCACACACATATGGTTATGGGCTTAAAAAAAGAAGACACCAGTACCATGTTAGATATAGAGTTGAAATGTATTACATTTTTAGTTTGCATCCCAATATTACACTGTAATATTAGGATGCAGACGGTATCCCTAGCCACGTCCTCAGAGCATGCCAGAGCTGGCTGGAATGTTTATGGACATATTCAATCTGTTCCTATCCCAGTCTGCTGTTCCCACTTGCTTCAAGATGTCCACCATTGTTCCTGTACCCAAGAAAGCAAAGGTAACTGAACTAAATGACAATCGCCCCGTAGCGCTCACTTCTGTCATCATGAAGTACTTTGAGAGGCTGGTTAAGGATCATATCACCTCTACCTTACCTGACACCCTAGACCCACTTCAGTTTGCTTACCACCCCAATAGATCCACAGACGATGCAATCGCCATCGCACTGCACACTGCCCTATCCCATCTGGACAAGAGGAATACCTATGTAAGAGTGCTGTTCATTGACTAGCTCAGCATTCAACACCATAGTACCCTCCAAGCTCATCATTAAGCTCTGGGCCCTGGGTCTGAACCCCGCCCTGTGCAACTGGGTCCTGGACTTCCTGACGGGCCGCCCCCAGGTGGTGAAGGTAGGAAACAACACCTCCACTTCGCTGATCCTCAACACAGGGGCCCCACAAGGGTGCGTGCTCAGCCCGCTCTAGTACTCCCTGTTCCCTCATGACTGCGTGGCCATGCACGCCTCCAACTCAATCACCAAGTCTGTAGACGACACAACAGTAGTAGGTCTGATTACCAACAATGACGAGACAGCCTACGGGGAGGAGGTGAGGGCCCTGGAAGAGTGGTGCCAGGAAAATAACATCTCACTCAACGTCAACAAAACAAAGGAGCTGATCGTGGACTTCAAGAAACAGCAGAGGGAGCACCTATCCACATCGACGGGACCGCAGTGGAGAACATGGAAAGCTTCAAATTCCTCGGCGCACACATCACTGACGATCTGAAATGGTCCACCCACACGGACAGTGTGGTGAAGAAGGTGCATTAGTGCCTCTTCAACCTCAGGAGGCTGAAGAAATTTGGCTTGGCCCCTAAAACCCTCACAAACATTTACAGATGCACAATTGAGAGCATCCTGTTGGGCTGCATCACCGCCTGGTACGGCAACTGCACCGCCCGCAACCACAGGGCTCTCCAGAGGGTGGTGCGGTCTGCCCAACGCATCACCGGGGGAAAACTACCTGCCCTCCAGGACACCTACAGCACCCGATGTCACAGGAAGGCCAAAAAGATCATCAAGGACATCAACTCTCGAGCCACGGCCTGTTCACCCCGCTATTATCCAGAGGGCGAGGTCAGTACAGGTGCATCAAAGCTGGGACCGAGAGACTGAAAAACAGCTTCTATCTCAAGGCCATCAGACTCTTAAATAGCCATCACTAGCCGGCTTCCACCCGGTTACGCATCCCTGCACCTTAGAGCCTGCTGCCCTATATACATAGACTTGGAATCACTGGCCACGTTAATAATGGAACACTAGTCACTTTAATAATGTTTACATACTGCTTTACTCATCTCATATGTATATACTGTATTCTATTCTACTGTATTTAGTCAATGCCACTCCGACATTGCTAGTCCTAATATTTATATATTTCTAAATTCTATTCTTTTACTTTTAGATTTGTGTGTATTGTTGTGAATTGTTAAATACTACTGCACTGTTGGAGCTAGACACACAAGCATTTCGCTACACCCGCAATAACATCTGCTAAATATATGTATGTGCCCAATAAAATTTGATTTGATTTATATACAGTACATCACAGAATAATTAAATGTAACAACACTGTTTGACATAGAAACACCAGATTGTTATTTTTTTATCATCTTTATTAATTATGAAATCATCAAAAATATTAATAATTTTCCACCCATGAGGCCAAAGAGGGCGCTTTTGGTCATTGACTGCAGGAAAGGGTACAGGTATGTGATGAGGTGATGTTGAAGGAGTCAGGCGCAGGAGGGTAAATCACAGAATAACAGGCTTTATTCCGCAAATACAGAGTTACGCAGTAATGCGTCAAAACACTCCTGTTTTGCGCACTGGAAAATACAAGGCACACGGGAAAATATCCTGGTGATACAAAATACACGGAGCTCCACCGAGCTTCACTATCCTCCACAATAAACAATCACACACAAAGACAAAGGGGCAGAGGGAACACTTATACAGGTACTGATGAGGGGATATGAACCAGGTGTGTGTAATAAACAAGACAAAACAAATGGAATGATGAGATGAGGAGCGGCAGTGGCTAGAAGGCCGGTGACGACGACCGCCGAAGCCTGCCCGAACAAGGAGAGGAGGCAGCTTCGGAGGAAGTCGTGACAAGGTAATTTCCAACTGAGCAGACATATGCAACGTTTACCGTGATTGCCATCTCTGCCAACGCGGGAACATTGCCTTTACATTTCAATTGTGCTTTAGCGCTGAATTTCAGCGATAAGGATCGAATAGAGCCCCAAGCCTACTAGTCTAGGAAGATTAATAATTGTTTGTTACAGGGTTTTCAGGGAAGCAGGTTGTTACCATGATGTCTCGTGTGGGCCCTGGAGCTGCAGGTACTGATGGGAGTGACTTCAAACACAGAGAGAAGGTGGCCACACAGTACCAGATGAGGTAATCATATCTGTCTATACCCTTGTCTGTCTGTATGCTTGTCTGTCTGTCTGCCTGCCTTTCTGTCGGATCATTAAACATACTGTCTCAGCTCCCTCTCCCCTTTTTCCCTGTGCCTCCAGTGCCTTGCTAAAGTCGGAGTTGCGGAAGCTCAACTTCGTCCACCTTCTGCTGTGGCTCATGGTGGCGGCCCAGGTGACCGTCAGCAAACTCGACCTGGTGCCCAGCGACACGGTGGCCGAGCCCTACAGATGGGAGTAACCGTACCTGATCAGTTTCTTTCCACTGGTCACCAGCAGACTGTCGCTTCCCAAGAACAACATCAGCTACCTGGTGATCTCCATGATCAGCTCGGGCCTGTTCTCCATTGCTTCACTCTTCTACAGCGGAAGAAGCTTGTTGAGGCCCAGCAGCTTTACCGCCAAGGCAAGGCCTACCGCTTCATCTTCGGCTGAGCGGCAGTCACCGTCATGTACCTTGTGATAGTGGTGGCGGTGCAGGTGCACGCCTGGCAGATATACTACAGCAAGAAACTGCTGAACGCCTGGTTCGATTTCACACAGGATAAGAAGAAGAAGTGATGAGGATGTATTGTGGGTTTTGAGGCTGGGGAAGAACTGTGTTTAGATTTTTTTTCTCTCTGTCTCTAGGATGCATTTATAAGTACTGTACATTGTTATTTATTTATTATCTCATAATCACTGTCCATTATCTTTCCAGATTGTCTAGGTAACACTAATTTTCTCGCCAACCTTGCATACTCTCTCTCTCTCCATTTCAAAGACACTGACTCATGTACATTTTCTCTCACATACAAACCATAGGAGGCTGCTGAAGGGAGGATGGCTCATAATAATGTCTGAAATGGAGCAAATTAAATGGATCCATGAACGTTGTGGGGTGTTACTACCTTGGTTCTCTACTTGTTGCCATATCAACTAGCCTCTTCATCTCAGGTCCTTACTGGACGTAGCCTGAGCTGTGCCAGCCAGCTAGCAGTTAGTATCAGCAACTCTCTACTTTGTTTGACTAGCCTCAGAGAATGAACGAGAGAGACTGTAGCTTCCTCTGAGACCGCAATGTTCACTGATACAGCTGTTGTGAAGCATTTAGATGTGTGTGTGTATGAACCATGCCCTTGTGTGAGACTGCAGCAGGACAGAGAATCTCTCAACTGACTCTTTGTCTCAACAGAGGAGGAATGAGCACTGAACAAGTTTGTTGCCATGGTTTCAGTAAATGGACATCCGGTGACTAATCTGTCAAATATTGAAAGCACTGTATGAAAATGTATGCACTCACTAACTGTAAGTCGCTCTGGATAAGAGCATCTGCTAAATGACTAAAATGTAAAATGTAAGTACTGTCCAAAGCTTGAGACTGAGAGACATGAGATTCTGTGTTCCAATGGCAAAACATTTGATGCATTATCGCACTAAGTTGGCTTGAAAGGTTACACTGTGTCTTGACTGCTATCAAGGGGTCTTGATTTGCCCCTGGCATGTAATGTGCCCAAAATGTAGTGCTCATCATTCATATACCTCTTCAATGACCTGTATGCTTGACCCATTGCCCCCTCAATTAATATGTTCTTCTTTTTTTATACTGCCAATAAAAAGGGAAATTGAATCCTTGTTGTCTTGATTGTGTCAAGATTGTTGTGCCTTTAGTTTTCTTGATTGTTACTGACCTTGTGATGTGCTTGATGAGTTGTATTACAGCTACTTACGCCACATAATCACTTATGTGTCACTGCAACCTTTTAAATTAAAAGAACGACCTGCAAAACACAGTATAGAGGAAAGCAGAGTCACACATTTATAATATAAAATGCAATTTCTCAACCTGCGCCTATTCAAACAGAAATCTGCTGATTTCGCTCAAATGTCACTGTCAAACGTGTCAACCAGTTGAGCCACTGCGACTGCGCGCTCAGCTGTATGCCACGTACAGCTTGACGTCGACAAGCGGGCAAACTTCCTGATGTGAAGCTGGAATTCTGTGTTTGCCAGCCCGGGTAACAGATTTTGGCAGACACGGTCTTGCCAGAACCACCGACACCACAGCGGGATCAAGACGTTCATTTACAGGTGGAATACATATACTTTTCTTTTTTGATATTCCTAATATTTATGTTGACAACATAAATCAGATTCTAAACGCTAGCTAGCTTGCTAACACAGCAGCTAACGTTAGCATTTCTAGCTAACGATTGATGCTGGCATCGGGTTTGTTGTTTTTATAGCCTTATTTGTTTGGTGGAAATGTAATGAAATTGTATAGCTACATGATGATAGAAATGCAATGAAATGGTGTGTTTGTTAAATTAAGTCCATGAACATGCATTCTTTGACGCCGGTAAGAATGCTAAGTTTGGATAAATATTTTGCAGGAAGTCAACATTATAACCGTGAATGGGAGTTTTCAATTGGTCTGTATTTGGCAGGGTTCTATATCCTGTCAGTGACACAGGACAATGGCCTAGTTATGTGTATGATCCAAATTGGCTTGCATGCCAGTTACATTCCTTTCGAGACCTCTAGTAACGATACAGTTAGTTAACTATCTAGGTTAGCAATATAGCCAGTACAACTGATTTGAGTTAGCTAGTTTATTGACATCACAACGAACTGTCAAATTAGCAAGCTAACTATCATGAATCACTGCCAAGAAGACAAGAAGCTGCAATCTTGAACCTCGCCCTTTCATTAACTAGTAACTGAATTACTTATGTACAAGCCAAGCCTTGTTATGTTGTCCTAGTTAGCATAATATAACTATTAGCTAGCTAAGTAAAATTGTTGATAATCTTAGCTAACCTTGTTTGACACACACTTTTGTTGGTAATTAATTTAGCTAGCTAGCTAGGTACTGTTAGCTAACTAGTTTGCTAGCCACTGCTGGCCAGACCAACAAGTTTTTGCAGTTCACGTGATTGAAACTATTGTAACTATTTGCTTGATATGCCTATTTTAGTGTGGACTGGATAGGGAAGAGATTGTTAATCTTAATCTAATCAGTTAATCTGATTAGCTAGCTAGTCTCTATTTTATTCTAATGGCATTCAGTAGTGTGTAATGATCCACTCAACACATTCTGGTAACTCCCTCTTTCAATGAAAGTTACAGTACTAGGCCTATAGGCCAAAGTCTCGTTGGGGAGCTGCATAAGAATCAGACCGACAGCTCAGCCTGTCGTATTTTAACCTTTGGAAGCAGAGTGGAACTGTAAACTATATAGTAGCTCTTGAGCAGTGTCGTAAAGGGCAGTGACGTGTTGTATGCCATACAAAGGTAAAGATGAGTGAATCCAAGGTTGATAGATTCATGATAACACCATTCTTCCATGGTCCAAGCACTTTGACCGTATCTGAAGGATTTTTTTAAATGTGACGATGCATATGTTTTTCAGTGGTTGTTTGTGGCTTACTAATCATCTATATGACTGTAGTCCTTTAGTGTAGACTGTAGAGTGGTTTATTTGCATCATAGGCCGCCTGTTATTGTTATGCCCTCCGTCTCTTTCTTTAACCCTAAAAGCGGCAACATATTCTTTGCTTAAATGCCCCAACGGGGGTCATTTCTTACCCCAAATTGGTAATGATTGAAAAGACAATCTGTCAAGCAGTAACACTTTTTGTTTTACATTTTATTAACCTTTTGTAACACAAGTAAATGGTTTGAATTCCCCCAAAATAAGCACATATGTTTTTTTTATGTTCACACATTTATAGTAAGGATGGGCTTACTATATACCGGTATTGATGCACAGATGCAGTACTAGTGACAAAAGCACCCTAGAAATCGGCACCATGCCTCTTGTGGCGAAAGTAAGAACTGCCATTGAATCCATTGAAAATACATGGTCACTAATCAGGTTTCCTTCCAACCTTTTCATGCGAGTAAAGTACATCTCGGATAAAAAAAAAGTAATGAAAGGCCTGATGGAAACAGAACATTTCCCGGTAAACTTTCCAAATGTTGACTAAACAAAATACGCTAGACTAGGTGGAATCTTTTTGTGTCTGTAAAATGAATTATCAGAGAAATGTCGGTCGAAATGCTTTAATTAGCAAATATTGATATAATCATATCGAAGTAAACTTGGAGTCACGCGATGGCATGCTGTCTGGTCCTCCTACGACTCGTCGGGAAAGCATGCAGTTTATAAGGCTACAGCTAAAATAAATTATGATGAATTTCACAGGGTGGTGAAAGTGCAAGGTGATGAACTTGATGCTCCTTTCCAATAAATATTGAGTGTATTATTCTGCTGACAGGATCATCGATACGCTGGTGACATGATCATCGATACCCGACAAATAAAAAATATCTTGCTCTTTTGTCCATAATAATCTCATAATGTAGGCTATATGTGCGCTCAAGCCAACAGCGTGCAGATACAGTATCTGTACACTGTTGGCTAGAGTGCACTTGCCAATACCGGATTGGGCACACTCGCTATATAATTACACATTTCAATGTGAGAACCATCAGTAGAGTTGAAAATGCGATGGAAACCCAAGTAACTTTTTATTTATTTGGTACATGGGAATTTAACCGCAATAGGTATTTTTATCTGCACTACGTCATCACGCAGACTTCTCTCCAATTTCATGGAAACATCTCTGGTGGGAAAATTTGCACATTGTTTTTATGCAGTTGCCAATTGGATGGAAACCTAGCTATAGAGGAAAATAATTATTTAGATAAGGAAAAGTGACTTTTTCACAAAGTAGAGGCATACAAAGACATGTGGTACAGTGTGGAAACGATAACAAATAAGTGAAGCAAATGCAGAAATTGATAAATGCAGAAATTATTTTGGGTTGAAGTTTGATTGAACAGTATAAAACGATCAGAAGAGAGAGACCCATTAAAACCACTTAGAATGTATTTGTTTCCACCCTAGGGTCATACACTACTCATTAAGCATATTTAGAACTTTTATTACAAAAAATCATAAACAGTCATTCTGTAAAACATGAGAAAAATATTGTTATATATTTTTAATGTTTTTAACAGATATTTTGATTTCATCCATAGCCACTTGTTATGATACTCAGAAATTGGCGATTGAGCTAATTTGACATACCGGTAAGACCTAAAATGGCCACCGATATGTGCGATATTAGCCCATTCATTGACCTTAATGTTAAACATATGCCGTCTATTTATTAACCTATTTATACGCGTTGTTTGCGATACGGTTCTGGAAATATTTGGAACTTTTATACCAGCGAGAAATACTTTTCAAAAAACAAAATATTCAATTACTCAGTTCTAGGCTTGGGTGATATACTGTTTATACCATATACTTTTTTTGGGGTGGGGGGTGGGACACCCTCGCCTCACGGTGGGCTGCGGGGGGGTGTGCTACGCCACTGCTTATAACTATAAGTTAAATATAACTATAAGAAATCTAAGATGCATTAAATAAATTATATCCAGCTCAGGGCTCCAGCTATGCATTTGGTTTGCTAACTTGCTAGCTAAGTGGCTAGATGTCAAGATCAAGCTTATTGGTTACAGCAGAGACATTCAAACCCTCCTGGATCAAGATCCCTGTTGCCTAAATTGTTTAGTGTGTCCCCAAAAAATTACGCCCCTTGTGTGCACATTCGATAATACCGTATACCCCGGTATGGTACAGAAACGGAATGACGGTATGAAAATCTGGATACCACCCATCCCGACTCAGTTCCAATTGCATCTGAAAGATGAGACTCCGACCTGGTATAGAGACATTGACTGGAAGCTAAATATGTATTTAAATGTTTTAGTTATGTGAGTTATATTGGCTGCCACACCGCCCAAGGGCCAAATCTGATTACATTAGTTTTTTTTGTTTGTCGGAATCTAGTTGCTTGACAAAGTCCCAAAATTTCAGAAGGATAAAAAAACAAACCCTGTTGGCACTTTTAGGGTTAATGGTGATATAATAACACACCATGATCCAACCTACATGATTCTCCGTGTAGTCTAGGTGTGCAAATCTCTTTCATGTTCTCCCCTCCAGTAGTGGGAGCAGTAGAGGGCGGACAGCACCATGAACGGACAGCTGGACCTGAGCGGCAAACTGATCATCAAGGCCCAGTTGGGCGATGACATCAGACGCATACCCATCCACAACGAGGACATCACCTATGACGAGTTGGTGCTGATGATGCAGCGCGTCTTCAGGGGCAAGCTGCAGAGCAACGACGAGGTCACCATCAAATACAAGGACGAGGGTAAGCTGGGCCGTTCTAGACAAGCACTGGATTAAGATGTATTATCACAATAGTGTTTTAGCTAGATGTCATCTGACCCCTCAACATTTAGCTGTTTCCTGCTGGTAATGGAAACAGAGGTTCTCTTTCAAACACTTGAGAATGCATACCCCCATCCTCTCCTTTTTAGAGTAATCATCAGTCATAAGAGTAGAGGTTACACATGTGAGGGTTATACAGGTTTCACCTATTCAGCCATTTCAGGATAGCCATTATCTCAAGAAATGGTGGAAATAAGGATTGGAATGTGGCCTGATTCTGATTTGGGTCCTAATGGTGTTCTCTGCTCTCTTCTCTTCCTGCAGATGATGACCTCATTACTATTTTCGACAGCTCGGATCTCTCCTTTGCCATCCAGTGCAGTAGGATACTGAAACTCACTCTGTTTGGTAAGATATTACCATACACATACCTACCCAGCCCTTCCTTTTTTAGTATAGGCCTACAGTGGGGAGAACAAGTATTTGATACACTGCCAATTTTGCAGGTTTTCCTACTTACAAAGCATGTAGAGGTCTGTAATTTTTATCATAGGTACACTTCAATTGTGAGAGACTGAATCTAGAAAAAAAAAAAATCCAGAAAATCACATTGTATGATTTTTAAGTAATTAATTTGCATTTTATTGCATGACATAAGTATTTGATCACCTACCAACCAGTAATAATTCCGGCTCTCACAGACCTGTTAGTTTTTCTTTAAGAAGCCCTCCTGTTCTCCACTCATTAACTGTATTAACTGCACCTGTTTGAACTCGTTACCTGTATAAAAGACACCTGTCCACACACTCAATCAAACAGACTCCAACCTTTCCACAATGGCCAAGACCAGAGAGCTGTGTAAGGACATCAGGGATAAAATTGAAGACCTGCACAAGGCTGGGATGGGCTACAGGACAATAGGCAAGCATCTTGGTGAGAAGGCAACAACTGTTGGCGCAATTATTAGAAAATGGAAGAAGTTCAAGATGACGGTCAATCACCCTCGGTCTGGGGCTCCATGCAAGATCTCACCTCGTGGGACATCAATGATCATGAGGAAGGTGAGGGATCAGCCCAGAACTACACGGCAGGACCTGGCAATGACCTGAAGAGAGCTGGGACCACAGTCTCAAAGAAAACCATTAGTAACACACTACGCCGTCATGGATTAAAATCCTGCAGCGCACGCAAGGACCCCCTGCTCAAGCCAGCGCATGTCCAGGCCCGTCTGATGTTTGCCAATGACCATCTGGATGATCCAGAGGAGGAATGGGAGAAGGTCATGTGGTCTGATGAGACAAAAATAGAGCTTTTTGGTCTAAACTCCACTCGCCGTGTTTGGAGGAAGAAGGATGAGTACAACCCCAAGAACACCATCCCAACCGTGAAGCATGGAGGTGGAAACATCATTCTTTGGGTATGCTTTTTTGCAAAGGGGACAGGACGACTGCACCGTATTGAGGGGAGGATGGATGGGGCCATGTATCGCGAGATCTTGGCCAACAACCTCCTTCCCTCAGTAAGAGCATTGAAGATGGGTCGTGGCTGGGTCTTCCAGCATGACAACGACCCGAAACACACAGCCAGGGCAACTAAGGAGTGGCTCCGTAAGAAGCATCTCAAGGTTCTGGAGTGGCCTAGCCAGTCTCCAGACCTGAACCCAATAGAAAATCTTTGGAGGGAGCTGAAAGTCCGTATTGCCCCGAAACCTGAAGGTCTGTATGGAGGAGTGGGCCAAAATCCCTGCTGCAGTGTGTGCAAACCTGGTCAAGACTTAAAGGAAACGTATGATATCTGTAATTGCAAATAAAGGTTTCTGTACCAAATATTAAGTTCTGCTTTTCTGATGTATCAAATACTTATGTCATGCAATAAAATGCAGATTAATTACTTAAAAATCATACAATGTGATTTTCTGGATTTTCCGTCTCTCACAGTTGAAGTGTACCTATGATCAAAATTACAGACCTCTACATGCTTTGTAAGTAGGAAAACCTGCAAAATCGGCAGTGTATCAAATACTTGTTCTCCCCACTGTATGTGCTGCTGTGCCAAGCACGCCCATCTTGGAATAATCAAACAAACTTGATTTGTCCCATTAAAAAATTTAAAGTAGGTTTATTCTGGTTATTCTAGTCTTTGTTATGGTACTGTAGTATAAAGAACGTATATCCTTTGTATCAACTTGAATACTCATGTTCCGTTCCAACGGCCCCTTCTCCAATAGTTTTAAGGTTCATGTACATTAACATGCCACTGGGAGGCAGTCTAGTCTCATATTTTGACATTGAACCCGACACTCCTACTTCGACCCCCTTGACACTCATTCTCTCCTGCTGTTATCGTCCCAAAGTCGGTGTCTCTGTGCTGCTGCTTGGGAAGTAGAGGCACCAAGCTATACTTGTGAAATAGTCTCTTTTCAAATGTCCCTCCTCAGAAGTCAAGCTCCAGCTTGGGTTCCATGGTTGGGTGTCAACCCATTTTCAGAGAGTTTTAAGAGTGTGTTCTGCAAAGGATGATCGATGGACTGACGATGGCTTTTGTTTTTAAACAGAACACTCTGTTGGCCAAAGGGAGAGTTACTAGTTATGCTGGCTTTACTGCTTTAGGCCTAATCATCATGATGCCCTCGTGAGTGTGTGAAAGACTTCAGCTGTGTGTCCATTGCACAGTATTGTACTCTGTCCAGGTGTTATGGATCCGCCTTTGTTTCACAGTGCAGATGTCAGATATGCGTTACCGTTTACACACACACACACACACCTCTCCTCCCTCTCATCTCCAATGCTGTCAGACCTCATTATGTCATTTCCTGTGCTCTGCTCCCAATTACACTGCAGCACAGCATCTCTGAGCTGTCCCTGCTATTATTAGATAGGGAGTGGCAGAAAGAAAGAAAGACAGAATGAAGGAGAAGAAAATAAATGTTTTTGGGTATATTTTTTTACTCCATCCCGGGACTTTAGTGCCAAGGCCCGGTGCGTCAGCACGTGCCGCAGCCGTGACCTCGCATGGAGCCCATATTTCCAGACGTTTGCCAGGATTGGGAGCAGGAGGGAAGAGTCGGATCATCCCGGTGGTCCGTGTCTCTATACAGGATCTTCTTCTGACCCCCTGGGTCTCTGCTAAATTTTACACTCACACAGGAATCTGGAATTCTGTCTGTATAATTCCCTTAGCGTTAGCGGAATTCCGAAGGATTTCCACTCTCGTATTTGAGATTTGGTGGTCTCCTGTAGTGTGTTGGAAAGTGCTCATCTCTGTCTGTACTAGTCGTGGTCCAGGAGTTGAGTCATCTCAAATTATACCCTGTTTCCCATATAAATAATAATAATAATTTGGTGGGTGCTTATAATTGTCCTATTTCTCAAGTGTACAAGTGTGTATTAATAGACATGTGTGACTTGGATGTTTTTTTGTTGTTGTTGCATATCCCACTCTCCCTGAGACACCCTCGGAGAGTGTGCTCACGGCCAGGGTTTGCCATTATCAACGGTGACCCTGGAGCAATTAGGGTTAAGTGCCTTACTTAAGGGCACATCGACAGATTTTTCGCATGACCTGGATGGATATGTCTGGTCTAAACATATCTGACCTCATGTCAATATCAGAGTAGTTAATTTATGGTTTTGCCTAAGAACACAGGGTATATACTACAGATAGATGGGGCTAACAACTGTGTTATATAGTGGTGGTATTTAATGGAGACTTGACTCCACATTTTCTGTGCTTTGACCTCTGACCCTGTGTTGTGGTGGTACCAGGGGACTACTACTCCTCTTTGAGCCTGCAGGTGTCTGGGGCTCCATGTCTAAGAAATGGCCCTAGTGTCTGTCTATCTGTCTGCAGTCTACCCCCTTATGACCCGCCTCTAACAGGACAGGTGCACTGCATAAACACACACATAAATAACAGAATACATGGACAGTTATTTGAGAGATTGAGTGTGTGGATGTTGCTGAGGGCTGTTGTGTCCAAACCACAGGATTCCTCACTGGCAAGAAGCTTACAGATCTCTCCCATGCTGGGAGTCCCCCCCCACACACACACACAAACACACACACCTGCAGGCATGCTGACTTATCAGACTGCAAATGTGTATATGTGTAACAGAAGTTCTGTGTTTACTAAAGACCATGACATAGCCTACTTTTGATTTTAACGGGACAGTGTTTATGAGAGAGGTGGGGACTAATAATAATATAATAGTAATAATGTTTGTTCGGTTGCCATGTTGTTCCTGGCTCCATAGCTGAACATCACGGTCTGTTAATCCTACTTACCCTGAACAGGCCTGCTGCTCGGTTCCTAGCTCGTTTGATCTGGTCTGGACCCCAACCCCAGGTCTGGTTTCATCTAGTTTGGTCTAGTCTGGAATGGACTGTTAACTCACGCAGGACCATAAGGAATGTACAGACCTCAAGACTCATCTGTTCCAGTGATCAGGAGGGCTGTCTGGGAGAGATTACTCCATCACTGTCTTCCATGGCTCTGGAGTGCTGCAGTGTGGATGGAGAGAGATTACTTGTGGAAGTGGTCCCCCCCCCCTTCACCCTCACCTCCTTCTCCCACATCTTGAAGATCCATATCGCGGCACCACATTCAGTATTTGAAATGTAATGACGTTGAAATATCGTCTCACTCTTTCTCTTCACACTCTTTCCCCAAAATCTCTCCCTCTCTCTCTCTCTCTCCCCTCTCTCCCCCCGACAGTGAATGGTCAGCCAAGGCCTCTGGAGTCCAGTCAGGTGAAGTACCTGCGCAGGGAGCTCATTGAGCTCAGGAACAAAGTCAACAGTCTTCTGGACAGCCTGGAGCCCCCCTCAGAACCTGGCCTGGCTGCATCAGCACCAGACCAGGGTACGTACACACACACACACACCCCTATCTGATTGTGAGTGTGAAGTGTGTTTAATTTAATAAAATACAGACATGCACACATCTAGCATATTTGTTATGTAACTTTATGAAATACCAATAGCTACAGGCCGGTTGTTTTTATCAGTTCATTAATCTCTCTCTGAAAGAGATGATTTGTCCTCCTTCCAAAAACATCCGTCACTTCTAATCCAGTGGACCAATCACATTCCACACCTGCCCCATGTTTTGTGCCAGGGGCGGTTTCCCAGGATGGTTTGCATCAACGTTGTTAGCTAGCTGGTGTGTGGCGGACGGCAACAGGTGGATTTGTTTATCCGAGACGTAGGGGAGAGAAGTGTGTAAAAGTGTTTTTACAAGGTGTTTCCTTTGCTGTGGTAACACCCTTAACCCAGGGTTTAGGATAATATTACACCCGTTAAAGCCCCTCGTAACCCCTATTTACGCAGTGGTTTGATGGTTCAATGATTAACGACAATGGAACTATTTATGATCAACTCTCTCTGCCTCAAACTGACTTCTCTGTTTAGTATGTGTGTTTGGCTGCTTCTCTAGCATCTTTGTCCATGTCTTTTTTGTGATTGTGTGTATATTGGTGTGTTGACAAGTGTCGCTCTCTTTTTCCTCTTTCTCTCCCTCGCCTTCTCTCCTACCCTCCACGCCCTCTCTCCTCCAGACTTGGTGGATGGGCATGAGGGGAGGGCGGTGGCAGCAGAGGCAGCGGTGAAGCAGGCCCCGGTCCCGGTCAGTGCGGCCAGCATGTCGGCCTTCGACCCCCTGAAGAACCAGGGCGAGGTCAGCAAGAACGTAATCTCCGCCTTCGGCCTGAGTGAGGACCAGATCCCTGGTAAGGCCATCGTTGCCTTGCAATTTATTTTTTTTGCTTTATGTTTGTGCTCTCTATACAGTCTTCTGACTACATTGTTGTCATATACCTTACCCTCACTCTCCACCCTGTTTTATTTTTCACATACCCCTTTCTCTGTCTCTCTCCTCTCCTCTCTCTCTAGCCCCCCCAGGTGTCTTGGCTGAGGAGCGGTCAGGTACTCCAGACAGCATTGCCTCATCCTCGTCTGCCGCCCCCCAGCCCGGAGTGCCCCCCCAGCCACAGGCCCCCTACACAGGGGTGCAGCAGGGACCCCCAGCAGCCATGGATGGTTAGGAACACACACACACACACACACACACAAAACACACAGTGTAAATTACCATGAAACTCACACGCAGACAGACCATAGCTCTGCATGAGTGAATATATGTAGGAAACTGAGTAATCTGAGGAATTGTGCAGTAGGAGAGTACAACACCTGTGGTGTCTGTAAATACAGAGGGTTTAATGGCTGTTTATGTCCCTGGAAACACAAATCACATAACCATGAAAACTTAAGTGTGTATAGAGGGGGGGTGTAATAGCTGTTTATGACCTCTGAGAGGGAGAGATTATCAGTGTGGGTGGTTTAGCACCTTAAAATACCTGGGCTCCACTGAGACCCCTAAAAAGTGTTATGTGTTTGCGTGCGTTGACTCTGTTGCTTTGTCTTGTCAAAACAGGAGAATGAATTTAGGCCAAGACAGTTACCCCAGGTCAGTTTGTGCTTTAAACTGATCCTAGACCTGTGCAGTGCCTAAGGGCAGCCTTGACCCAGTCAGTGTGTTGTGGAACACTTCTCTGGCGTGGCAGCATTGGGCCGTTCTGCTCCAGTAGTGTTGTCACTACTCCCAGTCCCTACCACAGTTGTTTTTTTGCTCTATTTTCGCCTCCACACTACAGACATTTATAACTTTATGGGTGAGCCAGTTTCACAATGCCATTGATGCAGAAGAACTCCATCTAACTCGGTGATGGCTAGATATTGCACTTGGATTGGCCAGTTCTCCAGTCCTGAATCCAGTACAGTATTTTTACTCTCTCTGCATGCTGTGATTTAGTGAATAATGTATCAGTAACATAAGACCGTATGTAAGCACATTTTTTGATTTAATGAGGAATTCCATGTTCTTATCACAGATAAACAGTGTATTCATGATCTTGGCATCCATCTTAGTCAACCAGACAACTCTTCTTGTAGCATCCCCTCCTCCTGCTATCTGCACTCCTCCATGAACACCCTGTAGTTCTTGAAAAATGGGATGTCAACAGTCTCCGGACCCGGCTAACGGAGGGACGAATAAACGAGGGATCAAATCAGACCGAGGTGGAGAAATAAAAATAAAAAGCCGTCGTCCCTCTGTAGTCTCTAGTTGGAAGCCACTTTGGGGTCGTGTTTAAGGGAAATGGTTTTTCGTGTTAATCCTGCCTTTCCGACCAGGCCGGTACTTCCCTGAGCTTTTCCTCTAGGACGTACTGGGTATTCCCATAATGGTGGTGTTCTGGAATCAACACAGAGGTATGCTCTCCTGGTGAGTTAACTCTCTTACCAGATGACTGTGTGTGTGCTAGGGTTTTGCATCTCAGTATATGAGACGGACAGACACAGGAAGGGAGGGGACAGAGGAAAATGTTGCTAATCAGTCTTCTTATTTAGCTAGTTCGTTATTTTGGATGTGATGTTTTGTCATTGGCAGGCCCATTTTCTTTACTCTTGTGGCGCTCCGTAGCCTCCATCTCTGGAGACGTATCCGTTTTCACCCAGAAAGACCCACAAGCAGCATGCAGACAACCACACCACGGGAGCCAAACCACAGCTGGAACACACACATACGGTAGGCTCGTTGAGCTGTGACTCAGAGGAACCATACCAGCACCTCCAAACCACACCTGGAACACCGAGACTGCGGTTCCACATGTTCATGGTTTGACCGTGTTCCCCAGGCCAGTTATGTGGTTTTGGCTCGGTCAGTGTTCATGCTTCTCCAAGGGGTTGGGGTTGAGTTTAGCAGAGCCAAGACACCCATAGGAGTCTTAAGTTACACAGTCATTCTTCCTTAGTTCTTACTTATACAACTCAGTGATTCACTATAAATTCAGACCCTTGCACTTTGTGCTGGTCGCTAGTTTTCGTTTGTCCATCAATGACCGCATGGCCATATAATGGTCATTGGCAGTTACTAGGTTCAGTGTGACCTCGCTTACCGTGCAGTTGGCTGGCCTTTTAGATGTTGAGTCCAACCCTGACATGGCAGAGCATCTTCTGGCCGTCCTCATGGGTTCATCCTCCACTTCTCTTCCCTCTGCTCATCCCTCCATCCGGTCCTCCCTCTCTCCCAGACTTCCAAGGAGGAGAGAGGCTCTGGGCTGCAGCTGGTGGGCAGACAGCCTCGTCGGGCTGCATGGACATGTTTTTCCCAACACTCCAATGGTGTGCCTGATGATCCTTTCATCCCCAAACGTTCCCTTGAGTGCCTGGGTTATAGATAAACAAAGACAACACAATGGAGACTATTATTGTTGACCAGGAATAGCCTCCAAGGAACAGTGCGCTTCTGCCAACATGTTGGGAATTAACACGTTGATTTAAGGGTGTGTTGCATTGGGAATATGCACAGAGGACTTCTTCAGAAAGTCAACGTGGACACAGGTCATGTCCTTTGGGGTTAGATGGCCAGATAGCTCCCTCTTTTTCTCTGACAACGCGTGGTTTGTTTGTGTATACACGCAAACATGACATTAACAAGATCCATAAGCAGAAGATGTATAGTGGCTCTCTTTCATATATCAGACGATGATCAACCATAGAGGTAGGAGTGTTCTGTGGGTGAGAGATGATGATCAACCATGGAGGTGGGAGTGTTCTGTGGGTGAGAGACTGATCAACCATGGAGGTGGGAGTGTTCTGTGGGTGAGAGATGATGATCAACCATGGAGGTGGGAGTGTTCTGTGGGTGAGAGAGAAACCAACAGAGTTATAGCACACGTGTTCACTCACCTCAGCACAGACTGTGATGCTTTATCAGACTACCCATATACTCTTGTTTCCTTTTTGAAAACATCCCTAAAAGTCTAAAGAAACTACGGTCAAGCAATAACATTCCAGATAATCATTTTTCCAGCTGTGTTCTGTTCAGTTGAAGGGATACATGTGCAGGCAGCCGGTCTCTCCATAGAGCCCCAGTGATTTCTCTTTCCTTTGGGATTTTAATTTACTGAGCAGAGATCAGAGATGAAGTCCTCTGGCCAATGAGGCCTGACGGCAGCCCCATCCATCCCTCCATCACATTATGTAATACACATGATGGATAGCAGGCAGGAGACCAAGACAGCCAACACACACACACACACAGATTGTCATTCTCACTGGAGCACCATTGTGCTCACATTACAGGGCTTGACAGTGGTATTACAGCTGTTGTCCCCCTTCATTATAGGCTCAATAACCCGTGAACCTTAGGCTAAGACTGTCCTGTTGTAACTGATTGTTGAAGTAACTGATTTTAACTGTTGACATTTTTCATAGATGTTGTCCCATAGAGCAATATATCCGGTTTCATCATATAGGCTTTTCACAATTTGCATCATGTTAATTGAGTGAAAAGAAATGGTGGAGGAATGAAACGTGGTTCATTCATCTGGTCCAGACCTGGGTCAAAATGAAGAACACCTAAAGTATACTGAACAAAAATATAAACGCAACATGTAAAGTGTTTCATGAGCTGAAATAAAAGATACCAGAAATGTTCCATACTCACAAAAAGCTTATTCCTCTCAAATTTTGGGCACAATTTTGTTTACATCCCTGTTAGTGAGCATTTCTACTTTGCCTAGATAATCCATTCACCTGACAGGTGTGGCATATCAAGAAGCTGATTAAACAGCGTGATCATTACACAGGTGCACCTTGTTCTGGGGACAATAAAAGGCATTCTAAAATGTGCAGTTTTGACACAACACAATGCCACAGATGTCTCAAGTTGAGGGAGCATGCAATTGGCATGTCCAACAGAGCTGTTGCCAGATAATTGAATGTTCATTTCTCTACCATAAGCCGCCTCAAACTTTGTTTTAGAGAATTTGGCTGTATGTTCAACCAGCCTCACAACCGCAGACAACGTGTAACCACGCCAGCCCAGGACCTTCCATCCGGCTTCTTCACCTACGGGTTCGTCTGAGACCAGCCACCCGGACAGCTGAAGAAACTGTTGGTTTGGACAACTGAAGAATTTCTGCACAAACTGTCAGAAACCGTCTCAGTGAAGCTCATCTGCATGCTAGTTGTCCTCACCAGGTTCTTGACCTGACTGCAGTTCAGCGTCGTAACCGACTTCAGTGGGCAAATGCTCACCTTCGATGGGCACTGGTACACTGGAGAAGTGTGCTCTTTACAGATGAATCCCGGTTTCAACTGTACCGGTCAGATGGCAGACCGAGTGTATGGCGTTGTTTGGGCGAGCGGTTTGCTGATGTCAACGTTGTGAACAGTGCCCCATGGTGGCGGTGGGGTTATGGTATGGGAAGGTATAAGCTACGGACAACAAACACAATTGCATTTTTTCGATGGCAATTTGAATGCACAGAGATACCGTGACGGCATCCTGAGGCCCATTGTTTTGCCATTCATCCGCCGCCATCACCTCATGTTTCAGCATAATGCACGGCCTCGTGCATTATGCATGGGAGATGTGTCGCGCTGCATGAGGCAAATGGTGGTCACACAAGATACTGACTGGTTTTCTGATCCACCCCCCTACCTTTTTTTTTTTTTTTTAAAGCTCTGTGACCAACCGATGCGTATTTGTATTCCCAGATTAGGGCCTAATGCATTTATTTCAATTGACTGCTTTCATTTTCCTTATGTGAACTGTAACTCAGTAAAATCTTAGAAATTGTTGCATGTTACATTTATATTTTTGTTCAGTGTAGTAATACAATGCGTTAACAGAAATTATTGTAACCAGATTACATTTACATTACATTTTAGTCATTTAGCAGACGCTCTTATCCAGAGCGACTTACAGGAGCGATTAGGGTTAAGTGCCTTGCTTAAGGGCAAATCGACAGACTTCTCACCTAGTCGGCTCGGGGATTAGAACCAGCGACCTTTCGGTTACTGGCACAACGCTCTTACCCACTAAGCTACCTGCCGCCCAGATGACTGAGATTAACGGTATATTTACTACTAGTGAAATGGTCCAAGTGTCCAGGAGCCAAAGACACAATCCTAGTTGTTGCATCTTTAGATTCACCCTCTTTCCACGTTTCTAACAGAGATTTTCCTCTTTGTCATATACTGCTGGCATCAGGTGCGGTGTTTAGAATGGTGTTTTCCTGTGAATAGAATTTTGGCAAATGTTTGTAAATTACGTTTTATTGGCTGCGTCATTACAGGAGTTGCATGTTCTGTTAAGATTCATTACCATTATCGAAATGTGGTTTCTGTCATTCTGAGCACCGTGGGTGGATGCCCTAATGGGTTACGCACCCAATGCATATGGGTCTGGTAAATTTCTCAAATGGCCGGTAAATTTAAAATCTTCCCGATCACGTTGTCAGGCACCACGTAATTTTTTTTACGGAAACCCAGGTGTATGTGGTGGAGCTGACCAATATTGAAGAAAAAAAACATATCATGATAAATTGACAGAATTATAACAATAAATTGAACGAAAAATGTATAACCTTGATGTGCACAACTATTTTTTTTATATTACCCCTTAAAACTACTACTCTAAATGTTACTCTAGTAGGGCCTTATAGGTTATTTATCGTAATGAACAGTGTGTTCATGTACAGTACCAGTCAAAAGTTTGGACACACCTACTCATTCAAGGATTTTTCTTTATTTTTACTATTTTCTACATTGTAGAATAATAGTGAAGACATCAAAACTATGAACTAACACACATGGAATCATGTAATAACTCAGTGTTAAACAAATCAAAATATATTTTATATTTGAGACTCTTCGAAGTAGCCACCCTTTGCTTTGATGACAGCGTTGCACACTCTTGGCATTCTCTCAACCAGCTTCATGGGGAATGCTTTTCCAACAGTCTTGAAGGAGTTCCCACATATGCTGAGCACTTGTAGGCTGCTTTTCCTTCACTCTGTGGTCCAACTCATCCCAAACCATCTCAATTGGGTTGAGGTCAGGTGATCTGATGCAGCACTCCATCTCTCTCCTTCTTGGTGAAATAGCCCTTACACAGCCTGGAGGTGTGTTTAGGGTCATTGTCCTGTTGAAAAACAAATGCTAGGCCCACTAAGCGCAAACCAGATGGGATGGCGTATCGCTGCAGAATGCTGTGGTAGCCATGCTGGTTAAGTGTGCCTTGAATTCTAAAAATATCACACAGTGTCACCAGCAAAGCACCATCACACCTCCTCCTCCATGCATCACGGTGGGAACCACACATGCAGAGATCATCCGTTCACCTACTCCGCGTCTCACAAAGACACAGCGGTTGGAACCAAAAATATCAAATTTGGACTCATCAGACCAAAGGACAGATTTCCACCGGTCTAATGTCCATTGCTCATGTTTCTTGGCCCAAGCAAGTCTCTTCTTATTATTGGTGTCCTTTAGTAGTGGTTTCTTTGTAGCAATTCGACCATGAAGGCCTGATTCACGCAGTCTCCTCTGAACAGTTGATGTTGAGATGTCTGTTACTTGAACTCTGAAGCATTTAAACTCAGCAAAAAAAGAAACGTCCCCTTTTCCAGGACCCTGTCTTTCAAAGATAATTTGTAAAAATTCAAATGACTTCACAGATCTTCATTGTAAAGGGTTTAAAGACTGTTTCCCATGCTTGTTCAATGAACCATAAACAATTGATGAACATGCACCTGTGGAATGGTCGTTAAGACACTAACAGCTTACAGACGGTACGCAATTAAGGTCACAGTTATGAAAACTTAGGACACTAAAGAGGCCTTTCTACTGACTCTGAAAAACACCAAAAGAAAGATGCCCAGGGTCCCTGCTCATCTGCGTGAACGTGCCTTAGGCATACTGCAAGGAGGCATGAGGACTGCAGATGTGGCCAGGGCAATACATTGCAATGTCTGTACTGTGAGATGCCTAAGACAGCGCTACAGGACGGACAGCTGATCGTCCTCGCCGTGTCAGAACACGTGTAACAACACCTGCACAGGATTGGTACATCCGAACATCACACCTGCGGGACAGGTACAGGATGGCAACAACAACTGCCCGAGTTACACCAGGAACGCACAATCCCTCCATCAGTGCTCAGACTTTCCGCAATAGGCTGAGAGAGGCTGGACTGAGGGCTTGTAGGCCTGTTGTAAGGCAGGTGCTCACCAGACATCACCGGCAACAACGTCGCCTATGGGCACAAACCCACCGTCGCTGGACCAGACAGGACTGGCAAAAAGTGCTCTTCACTGACGAGTCACGGTTTTGTCTCACCAGGGGTAATGGTCGGATTCACGTTTATCGTCGAAGGAATGAGCGTTACACCGAGGCCTGTACTCTGGAGCGGGATCGATTTGGAGGTGGAGGGTCTGTCATGGTCTGGGGCGGTGTGTCACAGCATCATCGGACTGAGCTTGTTGTCATTGCAGGCAATCTCAATGCTGTGCGTTACAGGGAAGACATCCTCCTCCCTCATGTGGTACCCTTCCTGCAGGCTCATCCTGACATGACCCTCCAGCATGACATTGCCACCAGCCATACTGCTCGTTCTATGCGTGATTTCCTGCAAGATAGGAATGTTAGTGTTCTGCCGTGGCCAGCGAAGAGCCCGGATCTCAATCCCATTGAGCACGTCTGGGACCTGTTGGATCGGAGGGTGAGGACTAGGGCCATTCCCCCCCAGAAATGTCCGGGAACTTGCAGGTGCCTTGGTGGAAGAGTGGGGTAACATCTCACAGCAAGAACTGGCAAGTCTGGTGCAGTCCATGAGGAGGAGATGCACTGCAGTACTTAATGCAGCTGGTGGCCACACCAGAAACTGACTGTTACTTTTGATTTTGACCCCCCCTTTGTTCAGGAACATATTATTCCATTTCTATTAGTCACATGTCTGTGGAACTTGTTCAGTTTATGTCTCAGTTGTTGAATCTTGTTATGTTCATACAAATATTTAAACATGTTAAGTTTGCTGAAAATAAACGCAGTTGACAGTGAGAGGACGTTTTCTTTTTTTGCTGAGTTTATTTGGGCAGCAATCTGAGGCTGGTAACTAATGAACTTATCCTCTGCAGTAGTAACTCTGGTTCTTCCTTTCCTGTGGCGGTCCTCATGAGAGCCAGTTTCATCATAGCGCTTGATGGTTTTTGCATCTGCACTTGAAGAAGCTTTCAAAGTTCTTGAAATTGACTGACCTTCATGTCTTAATGTAATGATGGATTGTCGTTTCTCTTTGCTTATTTGAGCTGTTCTTGCCATAATATGGACTTTTACCAAATAGGGATATATTCTGCATACCAGCCCTACCTTGTTACAACACAACTGATTGGCTCAAACGCATTAAGACGGAAAGAAATTCCACACATTAGCTTTTGACAAAGCACACCTGTTAATTGAAATGCATTCCAGGTGACTACCTCATGAAGCTGATTGAGAAAATGCCAAGATTGTGCAAAGCTGTCATTAAAGCAAAGGGTGGCTACTTTAAAGAATCTCAAATATAAAATATATTTTGATTTGTTTAACACTTTTTTGGTTACTACATGATTCACTATGTGTTATTTCATAGTTTTGATGTCTTCACTATTATTCTACAGTGTAGAAAATAAAGAAACATCTTTGAATGAGTAGGTGTCCAAACTGACTGGTACTGTATGTGTGCACTTTTTATGTGTATCTTTCTGCCATTGTGTGTGTGTGTGTGTATATATTTTGTGTGTGATTTTGCCGTGAACTATTACATAAATGACTGTTTCATTAGCCTACTGATAGCCTAGCACCAATCTCCCTGCAGAATTTCTTAGAACTATGTCTAGGTCCTATTCCCTCAAAAAAGGAGTTCCACAGGGCTCTGTTACGGGCCCTCTCTAAGAGTGGAAAATCAACGCTCCGCTTTAACTGGCACATGAAAAACCAGTGAACCGTAAACCAGCCTTCCCTCATTATCCTTTTACTGTTTGTGTTTTTAATAAGTCGTCGCCCTACTTTACACGCCAGGGGCTTTGGGAGTGCGATACAGGCCTTGTAAAGAGAATACACTGGTGGCCAACTCTTTACATGTTTGCTGAACATGGTGAGACTCACTGGAAACTTTAGTTGGCCAACGTTTTCAGTGTTTTGCGAGTGTAGTTTGCTTTTATTTTCAGACACTCTTAAACCCACTCCTCAGTCCACGTTATTAAGGAGACATGCAATTCTAGAGTTTCAAAATGGGACAAGGACTACATACACACCCAGTTAGACATGAAGACCAGTGAGGTCATGGCTAATAAAAGCTGGGAGGAAAGTGGCTGTCTACTGACACAGACAGACCTTTTTAGACAGACGACACCCGCTTTGACCCAACACACACTGCTCTATCCAAATAAATGTGTGTAAGAGCGAGCGAGGGAGTGAAATTGTGTGTGTGTGTGTGTGTGTGTTTAGCTTGGATCTGTACAGCTGACTGTAATGTGCCATAGAGTTGTCTGGGTGCAGGGCTTTGAGGAACCAATCCTTTTTTTTATTATAGTGGTTGGAGCTGTTTGCACTAAGCCCATCCTGTCTGATTCTAGCCAGACGTGTGTGTGTGTGTGTGTGTGAGAGATTTCCTTCCCCAGCAATCATACTGATGTCTTCCATCTCTCTCTTTCTTCTCCAGGTCAGATGTACCAGCAGTACCAGGCCCCAGGTGGATACCCACCCCAGCAGCCAGCACCACAGCAGCAGTATGGCATGCAGTACCCTGGTAAGACACACACTCATTCCTCATCACACTTTCCCTTAGAAAAGGTCCAAGAAGGACAGGCTAATCTAATAACAATGGCCCAGAGCTTCACAGAAATGATGCTATGAATAAGAAATTGATCACAACTAAAAGTTATACTCTACTTCTCCCCCCAACTCTCTCTCTCTCTCTCTCAGCAGGATACACCCCCCAGCCTGGGGCCCCGCAGCCCGGTGGCCCTCAGCCCCAACAGTTCCAGAACTACCCTGCCCCAACCTCCCAGGCCCCCGCCCCTGGCCAGGCCCCAGCTCCCAGCTTCCAGGGAGGCCAACAGCAGGCTCCTCCAGCCCAGGGTGCCCAGCAGTACCCCCCAGGGGTCTTCCCTCCCCAAAACTACACCTCCCAGGCCAACCAGCCTGCCAACTACAGCCTGCCCCCCACCTCCCAGCCCCAGCCTGGCCAGGGGTACCTGCCCCGTCCCGGCTACACCCCTCCCCCCGGTAGCAATGTCACCCCCCCTCCTGGGGTGTCCAACCCCTACGCCCGCAACCGGCCCCCCTTCGGCTCGGGTTATGCCCAGCCTGGTCCCGGGTACCGGTAAAACAGGAGAAGGAACGGGGAATGTTATCTACCCACCCCTCCCCTGCGTGTCCTGGCTGTTAGGCTTGGGTTCGGTAAACATGGTCTGCTAATCTGTCCACCCCTCCTCTGTCAGTCCTCAGATATTGAAGAGTCTATATCCAAAACAAGCTACAACCCCTCAGTCTGATCGTCTGTTTGTATTCTGTCTCGACCCTTCACCACAAACACCAATGTGTTATGGCCCTGCTGTATGAAATACAATGTACTCTAATAGAGCTGGGACGATAAACTGAAAATGATCGACACCGACCGTACTGACCATTTATCAAGGACATTTTACTAATATCGATAACCACAATAAGTAGCCTATATTAGAGAAAAGTTTGAAATGAAATAAGTTTGCCTGTATGGGCTATTGCCAATGTTACTTTTGATAGTTACAACATTTAAAGTTGTAGTAGTAGTTCTAAGGGTATGGTGACATACAGAAGTAGACTTACCGGTGCACATTAATGTTGAACTTATCGTTCTAATTATCGTTATGGTGATAATTCAGTCAATTTATCGTAATATGGATTTGTGTCCATATCGCCCAGCTTTAGGCCCTACCCTCATTCACCAGCCCTATGTGTCTGTCATCGTGAACATGTAGTCAGTCTGTAAGCACACTCACCTGGAAAGACCTAAACAGGCTAGAGTATGAAAGCAGTCTATATTATTCTTTTCACACACTTTATTTAGCTAGTCTGACATCTGTAATGCATACATGCATCTGTATACGCTGGTCAACAGAGAGGACGTTGATTCATATTGCATTTAACTGGCTGTTTTAAGATATACTGTAGTTTGCGGAAGCGCGTCTACAGATGCATGTATGAGAGACTAGCGAAATAGTGTTCAACCCTTTTTGTGTTTTTTGTTTGATCACTCATTTTCCTCACTGCCATGTTGGTATTATGACGTGTCATGGAATCTGCCACTTGGTTGAGAACACTAGCCGCGTGTTGAATTATGGGAGGTGTAGTTTTGATCCTCCAGAAGAATCCTACCATGTTTAGCCTCTTAAATCACCTCATTGTTTATTGCTATTGCTCTCTTTCTCTCTTCTCTTTTTTTCTCCTCACTGGTTTGTACTAATATCAATCAGAAATTCCATCTTGAAGTGACATTTAGTTGTTTATGTATAAACTAGCATTTTCTCTGGAACCTAATAAAGGCTTTGAAACCCAGCTTGAAGTCTTTGTTTTGGGTCTTTCTCTCCCTCCCCTCACACTGTGGTTTCTGAGTTCACGGCTCCGTGTTGAGCTTGGCTTTCGAGAGCCTTTTCTCTCCCACCTGGGTGGATTTGGAAAAGTGTGGTAATGCTGGTGTTGCTATTTGTTTTTCTAATCAGGCATTGTGGTTGGCTGGGATGTGTGGCGAGGGAGCGTATGGTTGGTCCCTCAGCTCCTCCTGTCTTTAGTCAGAACTAATGGCCAAAAGAGTGAAATGTGTTGGAGAATATTTAGTGTGTGTGTGTCCACTTGCTAATGCTATGACCATATGAACACCACACATACAGATCTGCACAATACATTTTCAACAAATCAGAGTCAACGCAGTAGTAAAAAAAAAAAACTAAAAAAAATACATAAGGATTTATTGTAGAAAACAGATACAGGAATGGTTGTACATATCTGAAACAAAAATACAATTCTGTTAAACACTTTTCCATAAAAATTGGGATTTAAAATAACACCTGCATCCATTTGTGAGCAACTATACACAATGTAAAACGTCATCTTAATTTGGTTGTTGGTTTCCACATAAAAAGAAGCCTTTATGTACATGATTTTCTAATATTTAAACTCGAACAGGTTGGTCCAACAACTCTAGCAAAAGATTGCAAGGCTAAAGACAAAGAGTGTCATTGGTGAGTTGAAATGTTCAGAATGTTGTAGATGGATGTACTGTATAAAAGAGACAAAATTCCTCATTGTACATACACAATATGTTTCTATCTGAACATTCTGTAATCTTGCACCCTCCCGAACAGGCTCCAGAGGTGGACAATTTGTGTCACTTGCAATGTGCATCAGACCACATCTACGTAACATTATATTCCTGGCACATTCTCTAAATTGAAATGACTATAGATGAGTTGGAAGTTAGAAATGTGTTAAAGATGAAAGAACAAAGCATCTCCTTATGCCGTTCTTTCCAACTGATGCTTGTTACTCTTATTTGGTCGTTCATTGACTACAGAACCCATTCAGCTGTTTTTCCAAGTGCTTGACACACACCTGCGGTCAGTAGAACCACCTTGCAATAAAAACTTTATGTTGAGACTTAATGGGAGTTCAGAAATATTGTTCTTTCACACCATACATGTATACGTAAGGGATAAACGCCTACATTCTGTATATTACCTTGGAAATACAGTGGGGGAAAAAGGTATTTAGTCAGCCACCAATTGTGCAAGTTCTCCCACTTAAAAAGATGAGAGAGGCCTATAATTTTCATCATAGGTACACGTCAACTATGACAGACAAATTGAGGGGGAAAAAATCCAGAAAATCACATTGTAGGATTTTAAATGAATTTATTTGCAAATTATGGTGGAAAATAAGTATTTGGTCACCTACAAACAAGCAAGATTTCTGGCTCTCACAGACCTGTAACAATTTCTTTAAGAGGCTCCTCTGTCCTCCACTCGTTACCTGTATTAATGGCACCTGTTTGAACTTGTTATCAGTATAAAAGACACCTGTCCACAACCTCAAACAGTCACACTCCAAACTCCACTATGGCCAAGACCAAAGAGCTGTCAAAGGACACCAGAAACAAAATTGTAGACCTGCACCAGGCTGGGAAGACTGAATCTGCAATAGGTAAGCAGCTTGGTTTGAAGAAATCAACTGTGGGAGCAATTATTAGGAAATGGAAGACATACAAGACCACTGATAATCTCCCTCGATCTGGGGCTCCACGCAAGATCTCACCCCGTGGGGTCAAAATGATCACAAGAACGGTGAGCAAAAATCCCAGAACCACACGGGGGGACCTAGTGAATAACCTGCAGAGAGCTGGGACCAAAGTAACAAAGCCTACCATCAGTAACACACTACGCCGCCAGGGACTCAAATCCTGCAGTGCCAGACGTGTCCCCCTGCTTAAGCCAGTACATGTCCAGGCCCGTCTGAAGTTTGCTAGAGTGCATTTGGATGATCCAGAAGAGGATTGGGAGAATGTCATATGGTCAGATGAAACCAAAATAGAACTTTTTGGTAAAAACTCAACTCGTCGTGTTTGGAGGACAAAGAATGCTGAGTTGCATCCAAAGAACACCATACCCACTGTGAAGCATGGGGGTGGAAACATCATGCTTTGGGGCTGTTTTTCTGCAAAGGGACCAGGACGACTGATCCGTGTAAAGGAAAGAATGAATGGTGCCATGTATCGTGAGATTTTGAGTGAAAACCTCCTTCCATCAGCAAGGGAATTGAAGATGAAACGTGGCTGGGTCTTTCAGCATGACGATGATCCCAAACACACTGCCCGGGCAACGAAGGAGTGGCTTCGTAAGAAGCATTTCAAGGTCCTGGAGTGGCCTAGCATGTCTCCAGATCTCAACCCCATAGAAAATCTTTGGAGGGAGTTGAAAGTCTGTGTTGCCCAGCGACAGCCCCAAAACATCACTGCTCTAGAGGAGATCTGCATGGAGGAATGGGCCAAAATACCAGCAACCGTGTGTGAAAACCTTGTGAAGACTTACAGAAAACATTTGACCTGTGTCATTGCCAACAAAGGGTATATAACAAAGTATTGAGAAACTTTTGTTATTGACCAAATACTTATTTTCCACCATAATTTGCAAATAAATTCATAAAAAATCAATGTGATTTTCTCATTTTGACGTGTACCTATGATGAAAATTACAGGCCTCATATTTTTAAGTGGGAGAACTTGCACAATTGGTGGCTGACTAAATACTTTTTTCCTCTACTGTAATGGACGCAGTGGGAAGAAGCGGAGACGACTCCGTTTGCGGAGTTCATTTTTCCCTTGTCCTGCTGCGTCGTCCCTTATTTCCAAGGTAAGTGGCGTATTGGTCTAAGGCACTGCATCACAGTGCTAGCTGTGCCACTAGAGATCCTGGTTTGAATCCAGGCTCTGTCGTAGCCGGCCGCGACCGGGAGACCCATGGAGCGGCGCACAATTGGCCCAGCGTCGTCCAGGGTAGGGTAGGGAATGGCCGGCAGGGATGTAGCTCAGTTGGTAGAGCATGGCGTTTGCAACGCCAGGGTTGTGGGTTCGATTCCCACGGGGGGGTATGAAAAATAAGAAATAATGTATGCACTCACTAACTGTAAGTCGCTCTGGATAAGAGCGTCTGCTAAATGACTAAAATGTAAAAATCTTAATGTACAGAACAGAGGCGTTTATCCCATTTATACCACAGTTACCAATGAAAACAATACTAAAGCACAGATTTACTGGTAGAAATACCCCAAAATTGTTGAGAGAATTAAACTTTCTCATCTTTTGGTTGCTAAAGACGCGACCCAGTTTTTCGTTCCATATTTATGGGTGTGCCCCAGTTGTTCGTTCTATATGTTCTGTTGCCATGCTCACTGGCAATGTTCTTGTCCCTTGCTTGCTAGCTAGCCAACTAGTTACTGTTAACACAGTCACGACCTCTGCAGCCAGAATAAAAGCAAAGTAGCTGCATTTGCGTTTATTTAAGCTGTTTTCAATTGACATTAATTTGGATACATCCATAACAATGAGCTGATGATGCCAGATTTTGCCTGGCATAGCTAGAAAAGTTTGCCTTCTCGTCAGGACACTCGACAATGTTCATTACGAGGAGATCACATTGATATCAAACACTAAGCTTGAAGCAAGCTAAATAATTTGTTGCTAATAAACCTGCCAATATGTCAACCGAATTCAAAAATATCATTTGCTGAAAACAACGGGTCAAACTAGAAACGTGGGAGGATTTGACAGCATAGCGCCACTTGCGTCATGACTGCAACAGTAGGGACTACAGAAATTCATGTTCACATCACTCACCAGTGGTTATTACTAGACTATTCAAAATCCAATACAAATTCACGGTAATTGTAGGCTAACTCAATTTGTTTAATTTAGGCTATACCAATTATTTACCAAATATCTTCAATTTGTATTTATTTTATGTTTTTCTGCCATGTGTAATATGCGGTAGGCCAGGGATCATCAACTAGATTCAGCCATGCAGTTATTTTCTTGAGCGGATGGTCAGGGGGCCAGAACATAATTACAAATTTGTAGACAGCAAATTGCCTGCAAGAAGGGCAAACATAAATAATATTTGACTAAAACATAATCATTTCAAACCTTGCTTACATTTGTATATGATCACATTTATCTCTATTATGCGCGGGAATACTTTGGAACAAATTGCCAAAATTAAAATACTTGGAGCTGATTTGCAGATATCTTTACAGTCTTATGTCCCCAAAAATGTTGGGGCTCAACTTGGGGGGCCAAATAAAATCACCCGCCGTCCAAATTCCGACAGTTGGGGAACCCTGCGGTAGGCTATGTATTGTATAAAGGCACAATCATGATTTTAATTTAGGTTTTTCTTTCAGGCTTGGGCTTATATATAGGCCTATGCGTAAGCTCTAATACGTATATGGGTTTTTTGAATTAATCATCACCTTAGAAAGCACTGTCCATTTTGTTGTGTTAGGCTTTGAAACAACATCCACAATGACCATGTTTTCCACTCAGTTTCAACCTGTTGTTGAACTTCTTTCTTCAAATTGATCAATCACAGTGAGGTGAGTTTTAAAAACACATACTGTTCTGATAAGTGTTTGATATGATTTTTGATTGCATTTGCATTGATGTCAGAGTGGTTAGAGGGACAATAGAGCCTTGAGTACCAGGCCATTAGTGACCTGATGATCATTAGCGAGTTGGGTACTACTAACACATGTCCAGAGTGCATAAAAGGAGATTACCGTGACTCAACGGTCACGTAGAATGTTACTACGCTCATGACTGCCGGTGTGGCGATAATGCAGTCACCGCAACAGCCCTACTCACCACGTTAGGTCATCAGATACTCCCCCAAAATATGTCTATGCAAAAACAAATCAATGCTAGCTAGCTATGTTTTTCATCGTTGGACCTGCATTTACAATGTATCCAATTTCAGTTTGGGTGGTTGCTGGATTAGCTTTATGTAACTTTGTAGCAAGAATTGTCTGCATGGTAGGCGCATATTGCGTCATGATTGCAAGGCGTCCCGATATCTTTTCCAACTGTCCAGATATCTTTTTCAGCTGTCCCATTATCTGGTTTTTAATGTCCATTCTAGAATGCCCTTCAAGCCAATCAGAAATGAGTATTCAACAATGCTGTGGTATAAATATAAATAATGATTTCATATTGTGCAATCCGCAACTGTTCATCCTACAGGACCAGTCAAGAAAGGGTATTGTGTATGAGTGAAGAATTGAGTGTGTGTGTTCATGCGTGCATGTGTGTAATGCAAAATAAATTTGTGGGAGTCTTTTGTGTCATAGCAACCCTTTTAGCAGACTGGCTAATAGAAACCACAAGAAACATTGAACAACAACTGCTTGATAAATAACATCATACACATTATTACATTTTTAGGGAGCCAGCTTCCCAACAGTTTCCGGCGTTCATATTTGACCTCTTGAAGCACTCTGAAATACCTTTATCAACTTCTCTTCCATTTTTACAGGTTTTGAGTACTGCCTCATGTCGTGTTTGATAAATAGTGAGATGATCAATCTGTAAAGCTGAAGCGTAACAGATTCCGTGATAGAAATGTAAAGGTAATTTCGGATTGAGCCGATTTATGCAGCGTTTACCGTAAAAGCAGTCTCTGCTAAAGCGGGAACATTGCCTTTAAATTTCAATCACGCTGTAAAGCTGAACTTCCGCGATGCGGATTGAATAGATCCCTTAAGGAGATATGACAAAAGCACTCAATAGAGTTCCATGACAAGGTATAGTCCTGTACACTTTTATACAATGGAATGTGGGCCATCACCATCTGACAGACAGACAGATGCATCTCCATGGTAACATACAGACGCAGTCTCCATGGTAACAAGAGGGAGAAGCCCACCTCAAGGGCCACTAAGACCTCCTCAGTCCTCCTCCTCTCACCCTGGTGAGATCATCATTCTTCCAGTCAGGCATCTTCCTGGCAACCCCTCTGGTGGAGGGGTCTTACCATTTCCCAGGTATGGGTGTTCCGCACTCGTACCAGCCAACGTAGGTGGCGTGCGAGTTCCCTCCGATCTCGCCGAAGTTGACCGGTTCCTGACGCACAGCCCGATAGAAACCTGAGACAATAGAGCAGAGGGAATATGAGAACCCTTCTTTTACAAATGGTTTGGAATGTGAATGGTCTTTTAACATAGTCTAGAGATCAGTGTTTCTCATAGTTAACCCTGAAACAGCCAACTTCAGTAGTCATTGGAAAGTGACCAAGAACCGTGGTCATGGACACCTGTACATGTGTCTACGGTTCTCTCCCTTTGATGTCTCTAACGGGTTCCAGTATTTGGCCCAGTACTCTACCTGATCGGCTGGGTAGTTGCTCGGCCAGTAGCTGGCTGCCTGTTTGTCCATCCAGGAAAGAATCTACAAACTGGCAGTGGTCCTCCCCATGACCAGTCTGGTCCCCGATGTTGTAGAACTTGCCTGCACAGGGTCAGAGGTCAAAGGTTATGGTTCTAGTTAGTTAAACGTTGTTCAAAATTCTAATGTAACCTTTCAACTCTTTATATATGTACATGCACAGATACAAGGTATAGTAGAGACAGTAAAAAATAGACATAGACAAACACTCTTACTATACTGACCGGTGAGCGAGTCGCTCATGTAGATCTTGTATCTAAGGGAGTTGCACAACTGGATGCCCACAAACTTGCGGTACCAGGTCCTCTTCACATACTGCTTCCCGTTACACTCTGAGTAGTAATCTGCCTTGAAGGGGAACTGTGTCCAGATAGCATCTTTACCTGGAGGGAGGAGAGAAAACAAGATCTAAGGATTGATATGATAGGCACAGAGAACGGGACACAAACTATGGAGGAAAGATGTGTGAACACGACATACTGAAAGTCCACTCACCTGAGACATTCTCACTCACCCGAGGGTCCGCTACAGAGGAGAGAGAGTAAAAGAGAAGAAGCATTGTTAGTCACACATCAGTCCATTATTACCACATTAATACAGTAATAAAACAATACTCACCCATGGGCAATAACAGATCATCTTAAAACCATGGTTCAGATTACAACAAAAGCACTTCACATTGTTCTAGTTAGCACATAAAAAGGCAGTGGCATGCTGCCTTGGATGTGGACAGTTACATAGTTGTGTCTCCCAGGGCGAAACAGTCTGATTTCACTACAGGGCAAAGAGCCATTGGACCAATCACTCTTCTCTATTAGCGCTATCACCACAGGGTTGGACATCAGCCCAGCCCAGTCCCATCAGTGGAGTGCTTTGGATTAAATTAGCTCATTGAGTTACTTGAGTATTTTAATGTGCATAACAGATATGATATGACTCCGAAAATCCAGTCCATCTGTAACTATTATGTGACTATGACTAGGGCCAATAGTTTTCCCTGACCATGAGGGCTTAACTCTAAGCCTAACTATGACCAATATGATCAGGTCCCCAAACACTCCCTTCGCAAAGTTGCACCCTGGCGTTAGTTCTCCATCTCTTCCTGGAGGCTAGTGTGTGTTGTGTACGGGAGTAGGGCTTTGGAGGCTCCTCAGAGGAGGAAAGGGAGGACTCATTAAAATAAAAATAGTGAAACATTAAAAAAGTTGTCATTTTTAGATCAAACTATACTAAATATATTCACGTCACCAAATAATTGATTAAAACACACTTTTTTGCAATGAAGGTCTACAGTAGCCTCAGCAGCACTCCTACTCTGGGTACATTGACTTCAATACAAAACCTAGGAGGCTCATGGTTCTCATCCCCTCCATAGACTTACACAGTAATAATGACAATTTTCGGAGGACGTCCTCCAACCTATCAGAGCTCTTGCAGCATGAACTGACATGTTGTCCACCCAATCAAAGGATCAGAGAATGAATCTTGTACTGAAAGCATAAGCTACAGCTAGCTAGCACTGCAGTGCATAAAATGTGGTGAGTAGTTGACTTAAAGAGAGAGAAAGACAATAGTTGAACAGTTTTAAACAAATTAATTTCTTCCAAAATTAAGGAGAAGTAAGAGAGAGAGAGAGAGAGAGAGAGAGAGATTTGGTTGTATTTTTTTTAACTTTCACTTTCACTTAGCTAGCAAAAGCAGCTAGCTAGTTTAGCCTACTCACAAACCCGGCTCAAACAGAGAAGGATGCTATGTTACCCAGCTGGCTATGGCTATCCAACACTGGAACTCTTCCAAGTCAAGGTAAGCTTTTGGTTTTATTAAGTTATTGCCACCGGGGCCCGCCGATGTAACTGCTAAACTGCTTTCTGACTGTACACTGTACTGCATGATTGTAGCGGGTTTAGATCAGCTAGATGCAGGTAAGAGTGTGCAAGTTGGTATTGATTGTGTCACTGTCTGTCACCTTGATTACTTTAAATTCTCTTGACCTGTGCACCTACGTTGTAAACTTTCATTCATAGGCTAGGTTGTAGCAACCTCATGATGGGTACAGGGACATTTTGAGTATCATGTAGTAACCTCAACCTAACAATGTTACATTGAGCTGGGTGAGTGGAATATGAATGACAAGTATGCTGTAATAGAAATAAGGCCATGCTCATAAAAAAAAAAGAAATCCTCCATCTAAAAAGGTGCCGACCACCACTGGAGTGGGGGAGTGATGAAAAGCCTGGCCGAAAGACAGGACTGACCAGGATAGGTCTCAATCAGTCACACCCCAGTGGTCACCGAGGTAATTATTCACCCCGGGTCTCGTGTGGCTCAGTTGGTAGAGCATGGCTCTTGCAACGCCAGAGTTGTGGGTTTGATTCCCACAGGGGACAAGTATGAAAAATGTATGCACTCACTACTGTAAGTCACTCTGGATAAGAGCGTCTACTAAACTGTAAAACGGGGAGCCATGTTGGAGTCATTACAGTAACTGTGGTTTAATTACACACCTCTGACATGCTAAGCTAAGAGCAAGCAGCTAACTATACACATCTATTAGCTAAGATGTCCTATTAACAAGTGACTAATTAGCAACACATGTCTGGAAAGCTAACGTGCTATCAGGGATCCTGTTAGACACATCACTTAGAGCCTAAGCCAGGCTAATGCAAAGTATTAAAATTGAAACAAAGTGTGGTTGCTAATTTACCAGCCCAGCTAACGGTGGGAATTGTGGTCCTAGGTCTAGACACTGATCTAAGGTCAGTTTTGCATTCTTTCCATCAATGGTTAAGGGCTAGATTCTATCAGATCTGTGCTAGCCGACATCCACATAGCCGGTGTCGGAGGTGGAACTGCGTTAGAGCTGTCAAATCCACAAGCGGCTCCTTGCGTTACCTTATTGTGGACACTGCCATTGGATGCATAAAAAAACACACCCAACATCATATCCGACAAATCCGCGTTAGAAGTTCATGCAGCCACTTTACAAGTTCAAACACTCCAATGTGTGATGTTCTATTGTCTACACCTCGATTAGACGGTGATAGGTTACAAATTCCCCCATCCAAATGAACATGAAAACATGCATTAGCCTGTCATTATATCTGTCATCGATAAGCCTACATTTCCTATTGCCGTTTTGAACTTCTAATGCGGTAGGGATAATAAGAAAGGGAGAGGTTTGTGACATACAAGAGCAGCCACTCACTGATTTGTCAGCTCATACCGCAGTTACACCTCCAACACTGCCAAAACATCCGCTATGCAGTTGTCGGCCAATGCGGGTCAACGCTCGATTTGATGGAATCGGGGCCTAATGTAAGGACATGGGAAAGATGATCCTAGATCCATCCATGCCCAAGGGGAACCTCTATCTGGAGCTAGCCTCCATTCCGGCTCCATTCCGTAAGTGTAATCAGATACATTGGCTGGGCATCCATTTCCTACACCTACCTGACTCTGTGTTGAACGACACTGGCTCGCTGGCAGGCCCTTCCCCCAGCTCATTCTTGGGTTTCACTTTGAACTCGTAACTGAAAATGAAGGGAGGTGATAAAAAGTCAACACAGTGTCAAGGCACTGATGTCCCTAGCTCAGTAAATCCGAAATCTTATTTTTTATATACTTTAAATCCCGAATGCCATGCTGATAGCTTTCCCAGCAAAGGAAATCTTAGTCACAATTGTTCACCATAATCGTAATTTTTGTGGAGCTTGAGTTTATATTCCACCCGTCTCCAACACTGTGACACTTGATATTTTTACTCTCCAGACAGCCTTGAGTGCATCGAGGCCAGTGCTTGCTCGTGACCCAATCTCTCTCTCCATTTCCCTCCCTCTCTCTCTTTCTTTCTGCCTCTCTCTCCATTTCTCTCTTTCACAGACACACACACTAACACTCAATACCTCAAACACACACAAACACACACACACACACACATACACACACCGTTCTAATGGCTGTTCCATGTGTGATGTTTAGATGGTGGTCTGTGGGCGAGCAGATCCAGCCCAGTGGTAGGTTCTGGTAAATCTGGTTTATACTCTGAATCTGTAGATCCCAGCCAAAACAAAGACCAAGACCAGGATCCAGCATCATTAAATAAACACATTGAGCCTTTCCAACCCAACCGTGCTCTAGCAAGCCTCCACACACCACATAAAACAAACACAGACACACACCTGCTCTCTGGTTTTAGGTTCTCCACTGCAGTGTGAGTCTGGTTGGTGGTCAGGATGGACACCTCTTCTCCATTGGGTCCATGGGTCCTTGAAATGACCTCATACTCTGTCAAAGGGAAGCAGGAAATCCACACAACATGTTTAATTACATCTTTACAACTTCATATCATACAGATGGGATATTAACATAAAAACGTCAATTTTAAATGTGCAGAGCAGCATCTTAACGAGGCAAATATAAACATTTGACACAGGATTCAGAGGATTTGGGTGGGGTTGACAAGGACTGGCCCCAAAGAAAGCACTCTGAAAATATGTAGTCTCAACTCTCCACCTCCACAACTTGTTTTCATTGTAGAGAGAAATATCCTGATTGAGCACAGATGGAGTTTCATAATGTTATTAAAAGACCCATTGTAACCAGTCTTATTAGTTAGGACTTCAACCTTCCATAACCAGGAGTGTTTTATGAACCTCTTTGGGTATGTGCTGCTGCACACACACGCACACGCACACTTCCCCCTTAACCTGTGGTGTAGTTGTCGGTCTTCTCCCAGTCCAGGATGACGAAGGAGGGGCATCCCTCCACGGTAACCACGGTGAGGTTGGAGGGGGGCAAGCGAGGGGGTGCGGTGACGTTCTGCTCCACCCCCTCATCCTCAGGGAAGAAGCTGAGGGACTTTGTTATGGAACACGGTTCGTCTGGCTTCTTGTCAGTCTTATAGATCACATGAGGGGCTGCAGGAGAAATTAAAGAATTGGCGCTCAAACAATAATAACTTAAAAGAGACAGGAGTCTGTGGGATAAGAATAATATATGCCATTTAGCAGATGCTTTTATCCAAAGCGATAACTATGCATGCATACCTTTTAAGTACGGGTGGTCCAGGGAATCGAACCCGTTATCCTTCCATGGCAAGCCCCTAACTTTAGCATTTAAACTAATTTGCAACTACTTACTACTTTTTAGCTACATTGCAACTACTTAGGATGTTAGCTAAACCTTCCCCTAAACTTTACCCTAACCCTTTTAGCTAACCCTTACCCAACGCTAACCTTAACCCTTTAACCTAACTCCTAACCTTAACGCTAACCCCTAGCCTAGCTAACGTTAGACACAACAAATTAAATTTTTTAGCAAATCGCAACATATTGTACGTTTTGCAAATTCGTAACATCTACAAATTGTAATTTGCAACATATCATACTAAATGGAGAGCCTCGGATTTACTTACAGAATGATACGAAATGCTCTGACACCAGGTTGGTAAGCCAGCTAACTTGCCTAAATACTGTATTAAGAAATAACTATTTTTTTTTTGAAAGATAAGCTTGAAATGAGCATAGTCTAATTACCTCAACAACCAAAAACACATATCGAAGTTTAGCTTTCTTAATGAACCAGAAAATGTGCTGTTTATCAAATTTGGCTAGCTAACTCATTGGTCCTGCTTTGTAGTATACCCCTCTGTACTCTGTAGACAAGAGCTCTAAGTCAACTGGAGCTCATCCAAAAATCTGGAAAGTGAATACAGGCAAGACAATCCAAAACAACTGGCGGTAAGAGGAAGCACGAAAGGCTATTGTTCTCCAGGCTAATATCCACAGTGATACAATACAACTTTAATTGTCCATTGTCACAGCTCCCACCTGCACACATCATACAGACACACAGTTGCGAGGTGCACAGGGTCAAGCTGCATTGCAGCGCTTCTGGATGGAGACCATGTTGTGGGGTTAAGGGCCTCGCTCAAGGGCCCAACAATAGGGTATTGTTGTTAGCATTATGAACCCAGCAGCCCTCTAGTTGCAAGATCAATTTCCCCCCTTTTTTACCAGCGCCCGACCCGGGATTCCCCGGGCCCTGTCCACTGTGAATTTAATCATGTGGGTTTCTTGAGAACTGTTATGATGCATGTGCCCTTACCTACGAAGCGCTTCTTGCCTAAGGCATCCACTTCCGAAGCAGGGAGAGAGCTGAACACAGAAGAGTTGTCACCCATGGCTACAGAGAGATGGAGAGACGGATGATGAGATTGAGAACTGCAGAGTGAGGAGTGTGTTATGAGTAGTGTACAGTGAGGGAAAAAAGTATTTGATCCCCTGCTGATTTTGTACGTTTGCCCACTGACAAAGAAAGGATCAGTCTATAATTTTAATGGTAGGTTTATTTGAACAGTGAGAGACAGAATAACAACAAAACAATCCAGAAAAACGCATGTCAAAAATGTTATAAATTGATTTGCATTTTAATGAGGGAAATAAGTATTTGAACCCCTCTCAATCAGAAAGATTTCTGGCTCCCAGGTGTATTTTATACAGGTAATGAGCTGAGATTAGGAGCACACTCTTAAAGGGAGTGCTCCTAATCTCAGCTTGTTACCTGTATAAAAGACACCTGTCCACAGAAGCAATCAATCAATCAGATTCCAAACTCTCCACCATGGCCAAGACCAAAGAGCTCTCCAAGGATGTCAGGGACAAGATTGTAGACCTACACAAGGCTGGAATGGGCTACAAGACCATTGCCAAGCAACTTGGTGAGAAGGTGACAACAGTTGGTGCGATTATTCGCAAATGGAAGAAACACAAAAGAACTGTCAATCTCCCTCGGCCTGGGGCTCCATGCAAGATCTCACCTCGTGGAGTTGCAATGATCATGAGAACGGTGAGGAATCAGCCCAGAACTACACGGGAGGATCTTGTCAATGATCTCAAGGCAGCTGGGACCATAGTCACCAAGAAAACAATTGGTAACACACGACGCCGTGAAGGACTGAAATCCTGCAGTGCCCACAAGGTCCCCCTGCTCAAGAAAGCACATATACATGCCCGTCTGAAGTTTGCCAATGAACATCTGAATGATTCAGAGGAGAACTGGGTGAAAGTGTTGTGGTCAGATGAGACCAAAATCGAGCTCTTTGGCATCAACTCAACTCGCCGTGTTTGGAGGAGGAGGAATGCTGCCTATGACCCCAAGAACACCATCCCCACCGTCAAACATGGAGGTGGAAACATTATGCTTTGGGGGTGTTTTTCTGCTAAGGGGACAGGACAACTTCACCGCATCAAAGGGTTGATGGACGGGGCCATGTACCGTCAAATCTTGGGTGAGAACCTCCTTCCCTCAGCCAGGGCATTGAAATGGGTCGTGGATGGGTATTCCAGCATGACAATGACCCAAAACACACGGCCAAGGCAACAAAGGAGTGGCTCAAGAAGAAGCACATTAAGGTCCTGGAGTGGCCTAGCCAGTCTCCAGGCCTTAATCCCATAGAAAATCTGTGGAGGGAGCTGAAGGTTTGAGTTGCCAAACGTCAGCCTCGAAACCTTAATGACTTGGAGAAGATCTGCAAAGTGGAGTGGAACAAAATCCCTCCTGAGATGTGTGCAAACCTGGTGGCCAACTACAAGAAACGTCTGACCTCTGTGATTGCCAACAATGGTTTTGCCACCAAGTACTAAGTAATGTTTTGCAGAGGGGTCAAATACTTATTTCCCTCATTAAAATGCAAATCAATTTATAACATTTTTGACATGCATTTTTCTTGACTTTTTTGTTGTTATTCTGTCTCTCACTGTTCAAATAAACCTACCATTATTAATTATAGACTGATCATGTCTTTGTCAGTGGGCAAACGTACAAAATCAGCAGGGGATCAAATACTTTTTTCCCTCACTGTACTGTGATGATGTGTTAGCATTCCCTGGCAGCTCTTTCTGTCCTCAGTTCTAATCTCTGGCTCAGACCTACAACCAGCACCTGCTTTGGTCTCTGTCTGCTCTCTCTCTCATGTATTGTGCCTCACCCACTGCCAGGTCTAGTGAATACTGTTAAAAGTACCAGAGTACTTAATCTTCCACACACATACAGTGGGGGAAAAAAGTATTTAGTCAGCCACCAATTGTGCAAGTTCTCCCACTTAAAAAGATGAGAGAGGCCTGTAATTTTCATCATAGGTACACGTCAACGATGACAGACAAATTGAGGAAAAAAATCCAGAAAATCACATTGTAGGATATTTAATGAATTTATTTGCAAATTATGGTGGAAAATAAGTATTTGGTCAATAACAAAAGTTTCTCAATACTTTGTTATATACCCTTTGTTGGCAATGACACAGGTCAAATGTTTTCTGTAAGTCTTCACAAGGTTTTCACACACTGTTGCTGGTATTTTGGCCCATTCCTCCATGCAGATCTCCTCTAGAGTAGTGATGTTTTGGGGCTGTCGCTGGGCAACACGGACTTTCAACTCCCTCCAAAGATTTTCTATGGGATTGAGATCTGGAGACTGGCTAGGCCACTCCAGGACCTTGAAATGCTTCTTACGAAGCCAATGCTTCGTTGCCCGGGCGGTGTGTTTGGGATCATTGTCATGCTGAAAGACCCAGCCACGTTTCATCTTCAATGCCCTTGCTGATGGAAGGAGGTTTTCACTCAAAATCTCACGATACATGGCCCCATTAATTATTTCCTTTACACGGATCAGTCGTCCTGGTCCCTTTGCAGAAAAACAGCCCCAAAGCATGATGTTTCCACCCCCATGCTTCACAGTAGGTATGGTGTTCTTTGGATGCAACTCAGCATTCTTTGTCCTTTAAACACGACGAGTTGAGTTTTTACCAAAAAGTAACATTTTGGTTTCATCTGACCATATGACATTCTCGCAATCCTCTTCTGGATCATCCAAATGCACTCTAGCAAACTTCAGACGGGCCTGGACATGTACTGGCTTAAGCAGGGGGACACGTCTGGCACTGCAGGATTTGAGGCCTGGCGGCGTAGTGTGTTACTGATGGTAGGCTTTGTTACTTTGGTCCCAGCTCTCTGCAGGTCATTCACCAGGTCCCCCCATGTGGTTCTGGGATTTTTGCTCACCGTTCTTGTGATCATTTTGACCCCACGGGGTGAGATCTTGCGTGGAGCCCCAGATCGAGGGAGATTATCAGTGATCTTGTATGTCTTCCATTTCCTAATAATTGCTCCCACAGTTGATTTTTTCAAACCAAGCTGCTTACCTATTACAGATTCAGTCTTCCCAGCCTGGTGCAGGTCTACAATTTTGTTTCTGGTGTCCTTTGACAGCTCTTTGGTCTTGGCCATAGTGGAGTTTGGAGTGTGACTGTTTGAGGTTGTGGACAGGTGTCTTTTATACTGATAACAAGTTCAAACAGGTGCCATTAATACAGGTAACGAGTGGAGGACAGAGGAGCCTCTTAAAGAAGAAGTTACAGGTCTGTGAGAGCCAGAAATCTTGCTTGTTTGTAGGTGACCAAATACTTATTTTCCACCATAATTTGCAAATAAATTCATAAAAAATCCTACAATGTGATTTTCTGGATTTTTTTTCCTCAATTTGTCTGTCATAGTTGACGTGTACCTATGATGAAAATTACAGGCCTCTCTCATCTTTTTAAGTGGGAGAACTTGCACAATTGGTGGCTGACTAAATACTTTTTTTCCCCACTGTATCACTGAACTCAGATCACCTCTCACATTAACTATTAATCTCAGATGTAGCATGATTCAAACAAACACACACACACACACACACATACATACACACACACATACATACAGTTGAAGTCGGAAGTTTACATACACTTAGGTTGGAGTCATTAAAACTTGTTTCTCAACCACTCCACAAATATCTTGTTAACAAACTATAGTTTTGGAAAGTCGGATAGGACATCTACTTTGTGCACGACACAAGTAATTTTTCCAACAATTGTTTACAGACAGATTATTTCACTTATAATTCACTGTATCACAATTCCAGTGGGTCAGAAGTTTACATACACTACGTTGACTGTGTCTTTAAACAGCTTGGAAAATTCCAGAAAATTATGTCATGGCTTTAGAAGCTTCTGATAGGCTAATTTACATAATTTGAGTCAATTGGAGGTGTACCTGTGGTTGTATTTCAAGGCCTACCTTCAAACTCAGTGCCTCTTTGCTTGACATCATGGGAAAATGAAAAGAAATCAGACAAGACCTCAGAACAAAAATTGTAGACCTCCACAAGTCTGGTTCATCCTTGGGAGCAATATCCAAACGCCTGAAGGTACCACGTTAATCTGTACAAACAATAGTACGCAAGTATAAACTCCATGGGACCACGCAGCCGTCATACAGCTCAGGAAGGAGACGCGTTCTGTCTCCTAGAGATGAACGTACTTTGGTGCGAAAAGTGCAAATCAATCCCAGAACAACAGCAAAGGACCTTGTGAAGATGCTGGAGGAAACAGGTACAAAAATATCTATATCCACAGTAAAACGAGTCCTATATCGACATAACCTGAAAGGCCGCTCAGCAAGGAAGAAGCCACTGCTCCAAAACCGCCATAAAAAAGCCAGACTACGGTTTGCAACTGCACATGGGGACAAAGATCATACTTTTTGGAGAAATGTCCTCTGGTCTGATAAAACAAAAATAGAACTGCTTGGCCATAATGACCATCGTTATGTTTGGAGGAAAAAGGTGTAGGCTTGCAAGCTGAAGAACACCATTCCAACCATGAAGCACGGGGGTGGCAAAATCATGCTGTGGGGGTGCTTTGCTGCAGGAGGGACTGGTGCACTTCACAAAATAGATGGCATCATGAGGAAGGAAAATTGTGGATATATTGAAGCAACATCTCAAGACATCAGTCAGGAAGTTAAAGCTTGGTCGCAAATGGGTCTTCCAAATGGACAATGACCCCAAGCATACTAAGTTGTGGCAAGATGGCTTAAGGACAACAAAGTCAAGGCATTGGAGTGGCCATCACAAAGCCCTGACCTCAATCCTATAGAAAATGTGTGGGCAGAACTGAAAAAGCGTGTGCGAGCAAGGAGGCCTACAAACCTGACTTACAACCAGCTCTGTCAGGAGGAATGGGCCAAAATTCACCCAACCCTATTGTGGGAAGCTTGTGGAAGGCTACCCGAAATGTTTGACCCAAGTTAAACAATTTATAGGCAATGCTACCAAATACTAATTGAGCGTATGTAAACTTCTGACCCACTGGGAATGTGATGAAAGAAATAAAAGCTGAAATAAATAATAATCTCTACTATTATTCTGACATTTCACATTCTTAAAATAAAGTGGTGTTCCTAACTGACCTAACACAGGGAATTTTTACTAGGATTAAATGTCAGGAATTGTGAAAAACTGAGTTTAAATGTATTTGGCTAATGTGTATGTAAACCTCCGACTTCAACTGTATGTACAAGGTCCTTTGCTGTTGTTCTGGGATTGATTTGCACTTTTCGCACCAAAGTACGTTCATCTCTAGGAGACAGAACGCATCTCCTTCCTGAGCGGTATGACGGCTGCGTGGTCCCATGGTGTTTATACTTGCGTACTATTGTTTGTACAGATGAACGTGGTACCTTCAGGCATTTGGAAATTGCTCCCAAGGATGAACCAGACTTGTGGAGGTCTACAATTTTTGTTCTGAGGTCTTGGCTGATTTCTTTTGATTGTCCCATGTTGTCAAGCAAAGAGGCACTGAATTTGAAGGTAGGCCTTGAAATACATCCACAGGTACACCTCCAATTGACTCAAATGATGTCAATTAGCCTATCAGAAGCTTCTAAAGCCATGACATCATTTTCTGGAATTTTCCAAGCTGTTTAAAGGCACAGTCAACTTAGTGTATGTAAACTTCTGACCCACTGGAATTGTGATACAGTGAATTATAAGTGAAATAATCTGTCTGTAAACAATTGTTGGAAAAATTACTTGTGTCGTGCACAAAGTAGATGTCCTAACCGACTTGCCAAAACTATAGTTTGTTAACAAGAAATTTGTGGAGTGGTTGAGAAACTAGTTTTAATGACTCCAACCTAAGTGTATGTAAACTTCCGACTTCAACTGCACATGGTCACACACATGAATGCACAAATATATTATTATAAACAAAAGTACACTCATCACTGAATCTTACCATTCAAGGCAGTGGCGAGGGTTGTGGTCTTTTGTTTGGCAGGCTTAGCCGTGACTAGAGGGAAGGGATTCAAGATGGACACTTTGTCTCCCTGCTTCAGGTCCATGGGCTTATCTGAGGACAGAGGGGACAGAACACAGCTCAGTCATGTAAACTACAAATACCGTTGTGGTCATCTCCTGCAGCCATCACCCAGCCAGGTGAATCTCTGAGTGGTTTTCCTGCTGTGGGAGAAGATATGAAAAATGTGTGTTGCGTCATTGTGTTGGTGTTTCGTAAGAGAAGTCCGTCAGAACAACACAAACATACTGCACACACACTTACACGTACTCACTCACACACACACACACACACACACACACACACACACACACACACAGACACACACACACAGACAGACACACACACAGGTGTTGCGTTTTGAGCTGTGTGTGTATTCTTCAGAGAAGTGCAAGGTAATTTAGAATCTAAATAAAACTTAACTGAGGGAAGGAAGGTTGTTAAAATAGAATCATCAAGGTGACAGCAAAATTAAGAAGTTGGCGCAACATTTTGGTAGTGTTGCTTTAACAGAAGTCAAAGTATTCAGTAGTCAAAACAATGGTCAGTGTTGCCCTCACCCTTGTCCCCTGATTTCCCCACCAGGTTGGGCCTCTTGTTGACAGGAAGGGAGGGTCGCAGAACTGCAGGGGAGCCTGGGAAATAGAGGCCATGGTAGGGTTAGGAACTGCAACAGCAAAGGAGGCTGCTGGAGTGAGCCCTATCTCATAACTGAGGATGGATGTTGTGCTTTTGAAAAAACAGGGGAACACTTTTAACTTTTCTCAGAAAAGGAAAAGAGGGATATAGAAGAGAGAAGCCGCAGTGTCAACTGAAACCACTGGAGAGAAGATGGGGTGGAGGAGGGTGTTAACTGTGACCACATCCGAGGAGCAATGCCATTAAAACAGGCAAGTATCTTGGGAATTCCTACTACATAGTCTATGTGACTAACACCAACCATGTCAACTCTCAATAACCTTCCACCATAACCCTACTACACAGCAAATTATCCAGTGTTATACACTGACAGTCACATTTAACACTGGGACAGTGTCTATATACGGCTCCACACTTTTGAGTGTTAAATTAACTAGGAAGTGCATATAGTTTGCACCAAAGGTCTGTATCTCTTGACAAGGTCACTCAGTGTTAGGTTAAGGACTATACACTAAGTCTTTATTGCCATATGCTCTTATGTACAGTTGAAGTCGGAAGTTTACAAACACTTAGGTTGGAGTCATTAAAACTTGTTTCTCAACCACTCCACAAATTTCTTGTTAACAAACTATAGTTTTGGCAAGTCGGTTAGGACATCTACTTTGTGCATGACACAAGTCATTTTTCAACAATTGTTTACAGACAGATTATTTCACTTATAATTCACTGTATCACAATTCCAGTGGGTCAGAAGTTTACATACACTACGTTGACTGTGTCTTTAAACAGCTTGGAAAATTCCAGAAAATGATGTCATGGCTTTAGAAGCTTCTGATAGGCTAATTGACATCATTTGAGTCAATTGGAGGTGTACCTGTGGATGTATTTCAAGGCCTACCTTCAAACTCAGTGCCTCTTTGCTTGAAATCATGGGAAAATCAAAAGAAATCAGCCAAGACCTCAGAACAAAAATTGTAGACCTCCACAAGTCTGGTTCATCCTTGGGAGCAATATCCAAACGCCTGAAGGTACCACATTCATCTGTACAAACAATAGTACGCAAGTATAAACACCATGGGACCACGCAGCCGTCATACCGCTCAGGAAGGAGACGCGTTCTGTCTCATAGAGATGAACGTACTTTGGAGCGAAAAGTGCAAATCAATCCCAGAACAACAGCAAAGGACCTTGTGAAGATGCTGGAGGAAACGGATACAAAAGTATCTATATCCACAGTAAAACGAGTCCCATATCGACATAATCTGAAAGGCCGCTCAGCAAGGAAGAAGCCACTGCTCCAAAACCACCATAAAAAAGCCAGACTACGTTTTGCAACTGCACATGGGGACAAAGATCATACTTTTTTGAGAAATGTCCTCTGGTCTGATGAAACAAAAATAGAACTGTTTGGCCATAATGACCATTGTTATGTTTGGAGGAAAAAGGGGATAGCTTGCAAGCCGAAGAACACCATCCCAACCGTGAAGCACGGGGGTGGCAGCATCATGCTGTGGGGGTGCTTTGCTGCAGGAGGGACTGGTGCACTTCACAAAATAGATGGCATCATGAGGAAGGAAAATTATGTGGATATATTGAAGCAACATCAAGACATCAGTCAGGAAGTTAAAGATTGGTCACAAATGGGTCTTCCAAATGGACAATGACCCCAAGCATACTTCCAAAGTTGTGGCAAAATGGCTTAAGGACAACAAAGTCAAGGTATTGGAGTGGCCTTCACAAAGCCTTGACCTCAATCCTATAGAACATTTGTGGGCAGAACTGAAAAAGTGTGTGTGAGCAAGGAGGCCTACAAACCTGACTCAGTTACACCAGCTCTGTCAGGAGGAATGGGCCAAAATTCACCCAACTTATTGTGAAAACCTTGTGGAAGGCTAACAGAAACGTTTGACCCAAGTTAAACAATTTAAAGGCAATGCTACCAAATACTTCTGACCCACTGGGAATGTGATGAAAGAAATAAAAGCTGAAATAAATAATTATCACTACCATTATTCGGACATTTCACATTCTTAAAATAAAGTGGTGATCCTAACTGACCTAAGAAACTGAATTTTTACTAGGATTAAATGTCAGGAATTGTGAAAAACTGAGTTTAAATGTATTTGGCTAAGGTGTATGTACACTTCCGACTTCAACTGTAAGTGTTTATAAAGACTTCCAAACTGGCAGCAGACATGCTCAAACTTGAATTAACAGAACCATAGACCACTTAAACTGGTACAATATTTCCACTCACAGGTGGCCAAAAATAATGACTTTAAAGCAATGCCCCCACTAAGCCACTCCTCCAATATAATTTCTCAGTCTGCCATGACTTTTCAAGTGAATTGTAGTTACCACCCATGACTGTATTTGTTAGTGACAAATAATTCATTCATTTTCAGTCCTGTGAAGTTCTACTATAGGCAAATTATACCATTAAAATTTAACTGTTTATGACAATACATTACATATATCTTAACGCCTTACTTTGATGGCCAGGTTTTACCCTAACACAGTGGTGTTAGGAACCTCCTGGTTTACAGGCCACATCAAGCCTGCAAGGCACATTATGCTGGAATCCAGCCAGGGTTAAGACATCCAACAGTTGGAATTTTTATTCACCTGCAACCTGCATTCAGAATGACTGTCAGGGTTAGGAACATAAATAAAGGAGACTACCTAAACCATTTAAACTGGAACAACCATTTTAGTAATGGGTGCAATAAATCTAACTAACTGATTTGATTAGTTTAGAAAAATGTATGTTATTTATCTTTGTGTAGCATAAGATTAATCAAGCAATCAATGTACATGCAAAAACACAGATATTAAAAAGAATCCTTACATTTTTTTGTTGCAGTAGAGCATTCTGGGAAATATAATAATGATGGCCGTGGTTTTGATGGGAACGTTTTACTTTCCACAGAGTAAAACTGACACAATCACACTCTCACATTCAACACTGGTTATTAACACCAACACTGGGGTTATTTTACACCACTGAGTGTTAATTTCACTCCTGAATCAACACTAGAAATGCTACACTGAAAAATCTGCACTAGGTAACACTGGCCAATTTGCTGTGTAGAACCAGCTTTCACACAAAACACAAGAACAGCAATCAGAAAGAAAAAAAAAACTACAAAACCATATAGGATTCTAAAAAAAAAGTTTAGCAAGACTGTGCTCATCTTTTACATGAAAAACAAGAAACCTGTTCCCAATGAATCATCTTGTCCAGCCAGGCCAAATTCTTCACAATCACTATATTGTTCCTGTTCCAAAAAGGATAGGATCAAACTAAACACAACCCAGGGCATGAGGCGGATGCCAGCTCAGACTCACTCTCAATGCTTTTCCTTTAAAGTCTGTTGGAGCCTTAGCAGGCTGTGGACTAATATTAGACACTGGAGTATCAAACTCAGAACAGGCCACTCAGACAACTTAAACTGAATTGGGATCTACTATTTGCAATCTCGTTCAGGAAATATACAATTCTCCCTGAATAGCTTTACTCTGGGCCAAACTGAGAGGCTTGGCAAACCTAGCGCAGGTCTTATTGAATAAATGCACTGACTGGACATACCGTAGACTTGGTGTGGTAGACACTATCTGAGACTGATAGGGGCAATTGTTTGGGTACTTGCGATCCTGGTTCATTCTATTCACTAAATATTAATGGCTGCGACCACCCAGCTTACATGTCTCCTTCTCTGCCTTTCAGGCCCTTTCCAGACAGAGACTTCGGGAGATCCCATGTCATGTCATAATTAGTGGTCATGTTCTCCTCTAGGGTTTCTGATGTTCCTAAACCCTCCTTGTCAGGACTAGACCCATTCATTAATATTACCCTTGGCCTATGTCAACCCCCCCTCAACGAATTCATAAATATTAACTTGGCTTGTGTCGACCCCCTGGAACAGCCGGATCTGACCCCAGCATGCCTGCCACTCTGTCAGGGATAAATCAGGGAGCTCCACACCTCAGTGAGGCAACAGAGACCAGACAAGGTTAAGTAGAATTTGAAGCCAAGGGTGGGCAAGTCCTGGAGAGACACAGAGCGTGCCGCTTTCAGCCAAAGCAAATGTACATTTTGTGTGAAAAACCTTGTGGCTCCTTAAATGCAGTAAAGAAAAATAAAAAGGTTCAACATTGTCTGATGGGGATCAGAGTTATGGGAACGTGGACGTGATGTCATCAGGAAGCTCTGTTTACCATCCTGAACCCTATAGCTGGTAATGGGAGAACCAGATTACTCACAACAACACCCCACAAAACACACACTGTGCTCTTTGGGTGCCAAACACCTCACCGCTGCACTGATTTACAACAGCAGTGGCACACATACTCCTACGCACGTGCACACACACTGTTTTGAAGTGTGAGCGTTAACAGCATTAAAGTGTTGTGAGTCTTGGTTTCTGTCAGACTCCTCTCTGGCGAGACAATGAAAAAACATTGTTCAAATACTGCTTTAGGTTTGCCTAGAACAATATTATCAGAGAAAATATTCCACTGTTTTACATCATCGCTGAAATGGTTGTTGCAACACATACTGGAGGAACTCAAGGACACTATCAAAACACTGTAGGGTTTTAAACCTATTTAGAGCACATTCACAGTTGAACAACATCAAATCAAACATGAGACTTGCAATCCATTTAGTACGGCATTCATCCTGAGCAACACATGCTTCAGGAGGTGGATGGGACCATATAAATAGGATACAAATAAGCCCAAGACAGACAGACAGACACCACTGACGGATTGTTTAGACACATTGTCATGACTACATCAATGATTGACATTTGCAATTCAATTGAAACCAAATAGTGCAAATATGGGAATAATGGGTGAAATTTGGAGTATATTTTCCATTCGTTAGTTTGATTGGTGTGTGTGATGACGGCGTGCAAAGACGAAGTGTGTTTTCATTAAGTAGAGCTGCTTCCAGCGAGCCCTGCGGCTTTTTGAAGACCTCTGAAACTGTCCCAGTTTCACACGAACACACACTGGTTGAGACTGAAGCAGAAACTGAAGCCACTAACTCATTAGAGTGAAATTAGGTGTAGACTGGTGAGTGTGGTCATTTTGGGCTTGAGATATAACACATTTTCGAGCAAATCATGCATTGATTTCAATGGGACATTTGTGCAAAAATTCAAGCCATGCTCCCAGATCCTTTATGACCTGAACAACAGGTCTAGGGTCAGACTGTAGCAATATGATGAGAGAGAGAGGATTCTTCTTCAGTCTCAGTCATATTGACAGTGAAAACGTGGACAAACACACCTGCAGACCACACCAACAATAACAGGCCCAATACGTGAATGGACCGTGATGCTGATGGACAGACAGGCTGTCCAATAAGAATGGACAGTCACATGGACATACAGACAAGCTGGCCAATCATAGGACAGGGACAAGTTGTTGTGACTTAAGCGCATTGAGGGCTTGCTGCAAGGAACGTAAAACAAATTGGCATCTTTCGGGGGAGACAAGTTAGTGGGTGAGGAGAGACACAATGAAAAGTAACGATTGTCTCTGTTTTTTACCCAGTCGCTTTCTAGACCAGATTGCAGGTTTGGGAAGAGCAAGGCTCTTATTGTGCTCCCCGTCGGCTGTTTGAGGGAGAAGAGGGCTCATTGAATTAAACATGTCTGCACACCTCGAAAACACGGTAAAGACATGCTAAGAACAAACGAGAGAACAGCTCAGTGCCAGACCTGTCAAGGAACATTCTAAACCAAGGAACAGAAAGGAAAATAAGGAACGTTTCAGACTTCAGTGATCCAACATAATAGTCTGTCTCCTTCAGAAGCACGAACATAATCAAACTCAATATACTCAATATACTTTAAAATGACCTAAAAAAGCGAAAATAAAGGACAAATTAATAAATATGCTGAGGAGGGGTAGCAAACTGAGATAGAGAGACGAAGCGTATAGATATATATAGTATATGACTCTATCTATCTCTCTCTCTATGTCTCTCTCTCTCTCTCTCTTCTTGTATCTATATCTGCTCTATCTCTATCTCTATTGTATCTGTTCTATTCTGTATCTATATGTTCTCTTCTGTATCTGTATCTGTATCTCTCTGTATCTTATCTGTCTCTCTCTCTGTATCTGTATCTCGCTGTATCGTACTGTAATCTCTCTGTATTATCGTTGTATCTGTTCTGATCTCTCCTCTATCGTATCTGTATTGATCTCTCCCTAAATTAACCCCCCCCCTTTTTTAGAACCTTTCGAGGGTTATCTCCCCTACTGTTAGTATTGTATCCTCCCGTACTTATCGTATATCCTATGCTGTACTGTATATCTCTTCTCTCTTCTTTTGTATCCTTTCTCTGTTTATTGTCTTTGTTTATCTACTCTCTATATTCCTGTTGTATTTTCTTTTTGTATTGTATCTTCTGTTTGGGGGGGGGGGAAAAAGGGGGGGGGGGCCCCCCCCCCCGGGGGGGAAGGGAAAACCCCCCTTTTTCCCCCCGAACCCCGGGGGGGAAAAAGGGGGGGAAGGGATGTATTAGGAAAATTTTAAAAAGGTTTTTATTTTGTTATATAAATTTTTTTCCCTTCCTTTTTAACCCTCCTTTTTTTTCCCCCTTTCCTTTTTTAAAAAATTTTTTTTGGGGCCCCCTTTTGTTTTCCCTTTTCCCTCCCCCTTCCTTTTTTTTTTTTCCTCTTTCTTTTCTTCCTCTCCTTTTTGTTTTTTCCCCTTTTTTTTTTTTCTTTCTTATTTCTTTTTTAATTTTATTTTTTTTTTTTTTTCTTTCTCTTTCCCTTTTTTTTTTTTTGGTTTTCTAATTTTCATTTTTTTTTTAAAATTTTATTTTTTTTCCCCTTTTTTTTACAAAATTCCCCTTTTCCCCCCCGCCCTTTCCCTTTTTCCCCCCTTGTTTTTTTTTTTTAAACCCCCAAATTTTTTTATTTTCCCCCCCTTTTTTCCCCCCCCCTTTTTTTCTCTCTCCCCTTTCCCTTTTTTTCCCCTCGAAAACCCCACGTTTTAACTTTTCCCCCCCCCTTTTTTGGGGCCCCCCCCCTTTCCCCTTTTCCCCCCCCCCCCCCTTTCCCCAGGGCCCCAGGGGGTTTCCCCTTGGGGCCCCCCCAAACCCCCCCCAAAACCCGGGGAAAAATTCCCCCAACCCTTTTGGGGGGAAAAGCCCCTTTTTAAAAAACCCCCCCCGGCCCCCCCCAAACCCCAAAAAAACCCCCCCCCCCAACCCCCCCCTTAGGCCCCAAAAAAAGGGCCCCCCGGGGGGAAGGGGGCGGAGGGGGGTTTTTGGGGAGGGGAAGGGGGAAAGGGGGCTTCAACACAAACACCATGAAAGCCCAACTTCAGAAATTATAATAATTATATGCCCCGGACGACCCATGCCCCAAATTATTTGTTATATAATATAGGGGGAACCTTTTTACTGGAAAAATTAAAGATAAGAATCGAAGAAAAAAAATTTTGTATCCCTTTTTCGGAGGGGAGAATTTTGTTTGTTTTGTTTGGGGCTCCCTTGTTTTGAGATTGTCATTATGTTATAAACCAAGAGGCAAATTTTTTTTTATCAAATATGGGGGCGACTCTAGGGGTCAATTGGAATGGGACCCGATAAAAGAGGTTGTGGGGTTGAGGGGGGTCCTTCATGAGAAATCAAGGGGGGGTATAATGGGCCCAATAGATTAAAATATAAGAGTATCTGCTTCTAATATAAAAAATCATTAAAAAAAGTAAAAATTGATAGTAACTTCCCAACTTATCTAACTCTCTTATATTATTGATATCTCTTATTAAACGTACCAAAATCTCCATGTTCTGAATGATGGAATGTTTTTTTGGGGTGATTGGTAACTCTATATAGGTTTAATTTGGCTATTTATGGGGTCTCTCAATCCCTACCAAAAAAATCTTTATCCCTACACTTAACCTATTTTCTGGGCCGTTCATATGGGATTAACACATTTACTCATTATGTTTTGTACAATAGGAATTCATGGTTACAAAATATTTATATCTATTTTTTAACATTAAATCTCTTTTCTTTAAGAAATAGCTGAAAATTTTTATTTTGGATATGGAAGTATAAAATACATCCATGCTTTACCAAAATTAAATAATGTTAATTGAATTTTCCCCTAATACTTGTAATATTGGTTTTTCCTACGTATTATTCTAAAATTTGTTTTCTTTTGAAAATCTCTCTTTCCCCAAAAATATTTTCTCTCCTCTCTGTAGTCTCTCTCTCTGTATCTCTCTCTGTATCTGTATCTGTATCTGTATCTCTCTGTATCTCTCTCTCTCTGTCTCTCTCTCTCTCTCTCTCTCTCTCTCTCTCTCTCTCTCTCTCTCTCTCTCTCTCTCTCTCAGAGGGATCTGGAAGCTCTGTGTGTGCCATGCTGTGGTGGTGCTATCTGCCCAGTGCTGGCTGCACAATGCTTGGCTTGGTTTGGCATGACTGGTGCAAATGTGATCTATGTCCTGGTCAAAGAGCCAGCCAACCTTCGCAGATAAATCGGTCGACCCGGCGACCGTCGGGAGCGTAAATCACGTTAACGACCCTGACCTCTGAGACGCCGCTGTTCCTCGAGGTACAGGCGTGAAACGTATGCCAAAGGGGAGGGCCTCTGAGTATTGGTGAAGGGAAGGAGGTTTTGGAGAGACTTACAGTCTGGACCACATGTGCTGGACTTCACACACACTTACACACACAAATGCAAATATGCGTCCAAAAACATTGGCAGACATTATTAGGCCTACACATTCTCTGGCCCACTCTGGATCAAGAGCCCATGCCACCCAGATCGTTTCGTCTGTGTGTGTGAGAGAGAGTGAGAGGAGGTAGAGAGGGTGAGACCCGAGGTAGTGCTGGAGAGAAAATGAGGAAGATAAGGAAGAGGAGGGGTAGGAGGAGGAAGAAGAAGAAGAAGAGGAAAAGATTGCTCCATTACCCCCTGGTTTGTCGGAGGTGAGGGAGGAGTTGGTGTTGGTGTTGGTGTTGGTGTCCCTGGGTAGAGAAAGAGGTCTGATGCCATTATGGGTGGAGTAGAGAGAGACGCGACCACGAGGCAACGTTGTGTTTCTGGCTGCCGTGGCAACGGCAGAGCGTATAGGAGAGCGAGGCTCGGTAGGGGTCAAAGGTCTCAGGAAGCTGGTACCTAGATGAACAAAGAGAGGTGTAGTAGAGGGGTTAGAGAGAGAGGGGGTCCGATTCCATGGAGACAAGGTTCAAGGGTGAGTCAGGTGAGATGGTGGCAGCCCTGGATGATAAACAAATTAATGAGTGAGTGCGTGCGTGCGTAAATGAATGAATGAAAGATGCAGATGTGGAAAGGAAGAGTGAAGTGAAAAGAATGGATGGATGAGATACGAAACAAAACTTAGCTTCAACAGCCCTTCTATTATATTCCATTAAAGTTGAATGACTTAATAATGCCAGTGAGACCAAACTCTCCAGTGTCTGAAATGATCAGGAATGGGTAAGTGTGGTGGAGTGAGGATGGAGGTGGATAGGCAGCATGTAGCCTAGCGGTTAGAGCGTTCGGCTATTAATTGGAAGGCTGCTAGCTCGAATCCCTGAGCCAACAAGGTGAAAAATCTGTTGATGTGCCCTTGAACAAGGCACTTAACCCTAATTTGCTCAAGGGGCGCCGTACTACTATGGCTGACCCTGTAAAACAACACATTTCACTCCACCTGTCTGGTGTTTGTGACAATAAGAGAAGGGGTTGATGGTACAACAGACCTGGGTTCAAATATCTCCATTTATTTTACATACATTCAAAGTAACTATTTTCTTTGAAAAGAAAAGTAGCTGAATATTTTAATGTATTTGGAAATACACTTGGGAAGTATTTTAAAATACACTCCCATGCATTTAACCTGCAAGTATTTGAAAATATTATTTTAAATAAGTATTTGAAAATACTCTCAAATACATTTGGTAGACTATTTGGTTTTTACAAATAACCATTAAAATTCTCAAATAAAAGTATTTGTTTTGGGCTGTGTATTTGAAAATACTCAAATACACAGAAAAAAGTATTTTAAATACCACGTATTTGATCCCAGGTATGTGGTGCAACACAGACTTCAACCCATAGCAACAGAGTGTGGAGTGATGAAAATGGTATTATGGGTAAGCTACAGTGGGGGGGAAAAGTATTTAGTCAGCCACCAATTGTGCAAGTTCTCCCACTTAAAAAGATGAGAGAGGCCTGTAATTTTCATCATAGGTACACGTCAACTATGACAGACAAAATGAGAAAAAAAAATCCAGAAAATCACATTGTAGGATGTTTAATGAATTTATTTGCAAATTATGGTGGAAAATAAGTATTTGGTCAATAACAAAAGTTTCTCAATACTTTGTTATATACCCTTTGTTGGCAATGACACAGGTCAGACGTTTTCTGTAAGTCTTCACAAGGTTTTCACACACTGTTGCTGGTATTTTGGCCCATTCCTCCATGCAGATCTCCTCTAGAGCAGTGATGTTTTGGGGCTGTCGCTGGGCAACACGGACTTTCAACTCCCTCCAAAGATTCTCTATGGGGTTGAGATCTGGAGACTGGCTAGGCCACTCCAGGACCTTGAAATGCTTCTTCTGAAGCCACTCCTTCGTTGCCCGGGCAGTGTGTTTGGGATCATTGTCATGCTGAAAGACCCAGCCACGTTTCATCTTCAATGCCCTTGCTGATGGAAGGAGGTTTTCACTCAAAATCTCACGATACCTGGCCCCATTCATTCTTTTCTTTACACGGATCAGTCGTCCTGGTCCCTTTGCAGAAAAACAGCCCCAAGGCATGATGTTTCCACCCCCATGCTTCACAGTAGGTATGGTGTTCTTTGGATGCAACTCAGCATTCTTTGTCCTCCAAACACGACGAGTTGAGTTTTTACCAAAAAGTTCTATTTTGGTTTCGTCTGACCATATGACATTCTCCCAATCCTCTTCTGGATCATCCAAATGCACTCTAGCAAACTTCAGACGGGCCTGGACATGTACTGGCTTAAGCAGGGGGACACGTCTGGCACTGCAGGATTTGAGTCCCTGGCGGCCTAGTGTGTTACTGATGGTAGGCTTTGTTACTTTGGTCCCAGCTCTCTGCAGGTCATTCACTAGGTCCCCCCGTGTGGTTCTGGGATTTTTGCTCACCGTTCTTGTGATCATTTTGACCCCACAGGGTGAGATCTTGCGTGGAGCCCCAGATCGAGGGAGATTATCAGTGGTCTTGTATGTCTTCCATTTCCTAATAATTGCTCCCACAATTGATTTCTTCAAACCAAGCTGCTTACCTATTGCAGATTCAGTCTTCCCAGCCTGGTGCAGGTCTACAATTTTGTTTCTGGTGTCCTTTGACAGCTCTTTGGTCTTGGCCATAGTGGAGTTTGGAGTGTGACTGTTTGAGGTTGTGGACAGGTGTATTTTATACTGATAACAAGTTCAAACAGGTGCCATTAATACAGGTAACAAGTGGAGGACAGAGGAGCCTCTTAAAGAAGAAGTTACAGGTCTGTGAGAGCCAGAAATCTTGCTTGTTTGTACGTGACCAAATACTTATTTTCCACCACAATTTGCAAATAAATTCATAAAAAATCCTACAATTTGATTTTCTGGAGAAAATAAATCTCATTTTGTCTATCATAGTTGACGTGTACCTATGATGAAAATTACAGGCCTCTCTCATCTTTTTAAGTGGGAGAACTTGCACAATTGGTGGCTGACTAAATACTTTTTTTCCCCACTGTATGAGGTCATCCAATGAATGATTGATTGTGAACAGACATGACCAATGAGAGCTTTGGGTTTCATGAGGTTGGATGACAACAGAGATGGTGATAGGACTAAATGTTGTCATCGTTACCCTGGATGTTACTATTGGCCCTCTCAGTGACGATGGCGGGTCTTGGCAGAGGTTGTCCCACCTGATATTGGCTGGGAGCTGTGTGAGAGATAACTTACTTTTTTATCAGAGGATAAGAAGCTGCGACTCAATGATCCATTATACATGTTTCTATGGCTCTGTTACAGCCTAACTGAGGGGCGAGAGCAGGATCTTTACCCGTGGGGGTCTGTAGGTTCTGGTTGACCTTAGCAGGCTGTTGGGGCTGTGCCTGAGGCTTGGGCCTGGGCCTTGCCTGTTGGGGCCTTGCCTGTTGGGGTCTGGCCTGGGCCGGTCCCCTGTGTCTCTGTCCGTTACGATTGGGGTTAAGCATAGGGTCAGCTGGGGAAGCCAGGGGAAGATTGGGGGAGGGCAGGAGCTGGGGGGAGGCATGGGGGAGGGTGGGGGAGTGATGGAGCTGGGGGGAGGGTAAGGGGAGGTGGGGGGAGGGTAAGGGGAGGTGGGGGGGAGGGTAAGGGGAGGTAGGGGGAGGGCAGGGAGACGGCGGGTGAGGCACGGGTGACACCCACAGAAGGAGAGGAGGCAGATATGATCTGATCTGCTCGTCCTGGGGTGGGTGAGAGAGGATAGTGGTACATGAGGCCATAGAAATATAATCTAATAGAACAGACAGTACACCATGGACAGGTCTTTGACACTGGAAAACGAAGAGGAGAAATTGGCATAGAAATAGAATGGCTTAGAGAGAGAAACCATAGAATCCTTTAACAGATGAAATAGAAGAACCATAGAGAACAGATAGAAAGGCTCTCCGATAACCAGGCTGATATGTGTTTACGACTTGGACTGGGGAAACTTATCCAATCAGCACATAACAGATATCATCTCTACCTGGCACGAGGTTGATACAGAGGGTTGGATTTCAAAGGAGCTGAGCCCATATGGAGCAGTTTTCAGTGTAACGACTGTGTTACTACACACATACGCTGCTACCAGGCTACCAAACCTAGGACACCTGTGACATACGGCCGTCCAAAATACATTTGGCTGTGTGCCTCTGGAGGACTGTGAACCATGAGGTTTTAACAGAGGGAGTATTGATCACCTAGCGAGGGATTTTAATGACCATCTTTGATCGATTGTTTAATCCGATCAGGTACTTTACCTCGACTCACAAAGGGAGAGAAGAGAGGGAACAGAGAGAGAGAGAGAGCGAGAGAGAGAGAGGAAGGGGAACGTTGTAGATGAGTAGATAACATGGCATTCCAGTGTTTCAGTGTCACTTCTCATGTTAATGGGCATGTAATGGTGATGCTAGGGGGGGGGGGGGGGGGGGGGGGGGAATGGTGCTTGTGGTGTAGTTGTGTTATAAACAGACAGGTAGAGCTTTAAACTTAACGTTTTGCTAACACTTGTTCCAGATGGACAACATGAACGATAGACGAATAGGAATACAATGAAGGATAGGATAGGAAGGGAAGAGATGGGGGTGGAATAGAAAGGAGGTACAGAGTATCGAAGATGAGAAATTAGGACATTTTATGGTAGATCTGAGGCTCTGTTCCTGTTGGGGAGAAAGTGGGGTCATTTTGTAGCATGCTACTTTATCATGCAGACTGGACTGAACACCTTCTAGACTGCAACTTGCTGAAAGCAAAGCACCGTGGGTTAAAATACTGATTCTAAATGAACAGTTGTGTTGGGGAATGTGAGTAGAATGTTTTAAATGTCTTGAAATCAACAGATTAATGAATGTGGACTGGTATTATGGTATAAGATGCTGATTGATACACAGTATGGACAAATGGATGGACAGACCGTAAAGAAGTGAGACAAAGATACACTCTTAGAAAAAAAAGGTGCTATCTAGAACCTAAAAGGGTTTATCAGCTGTCCCCATAAGAGAACCCTTTGAAGAACCCTTTTTGGTTCAAGGTAGAACCCTTTTGGGTTACATGTAGAACCCTTTCCAGAGAAGGTTCTTCCTGGAACCAAAAAGGGTTATCCTATGGGAACAGTCGAAGAACCCTTTTGGAACCCTTTTTTCTAAGAGTGTAGAGGAAGACAGAGAAAGACGATTGACTTGTTTGTGGGACGAAACTGATGAGAAACGCATTGCGGGAACAAGCAGCGCTTATGCAATGTGCTCAAAAGGTCATGGGATGTTCTCAGTAGGACCATACAACCACGTGGCTAAGCCATGCTGCCATAGCAACCTACCTCAGCCTCCTTGGGAATTGTCTGAGGCAGTATTGGAACTGACAGTCATCTTCTCCTGAGATCCGGGGCTCTCTACAGTGAGGGAAAAAAGTATTTGATCCCCTGCTGATTTTGTACGTTTGCCCACTGACAAAGACATGATTAGTCTATAATTTTAATGGTAGGTTTATTTGAACAGTGAGAGACAGAATAACAACAACAAAATCCAGAAAAATGCATGTCAAAAATGTTATAAATTGATTTGCATTTGAATGAGGAAAATAAGTATTTGACCCCTCTGCAAAACATGACTTAGTACTTGGTGGCAAAACCCTTGTTGGCAATCACAGAGGTCAGACGTTTCTTGTAGTTGGCCACCAGGATTGCACACATCTCAGGAGGGATTTTGTCCCACTCCTCTTTGCATATCTTCTCCAAGTCATTAAGGTTTCGAGGCTGATGTTTGGCAACTTGAACCTTCAGCTCCCTCCACAGATTTTCTATGGGATTAAGGTCTGGAGACTGGCTAGGCCACTCCAGGACCTTAATGTGCTTCTTCTTGAGCCACTCCTTTGTTGCCTTGGCCGTGTGTGGGTCATTGTCATGCTGGAATACCCATTCACGACCCATTTTCAATGCCCTGGCTAAGGGAAGGAGGTTCTCACCCAAGATTTGACGGTACATGGCCCCGTCCATCGTCCCTTTGATGCGGTGAAGTTGTCCTGTCCCCATAGCAGAAAAACACCCCCAAAGTTTACACCTCCATGTTTGACGGTGGGGATGGTGTTCTTGGGGTCATAGGCAGCATTCCTCCTCCTCCAAACACAGCGAGTTGAGTTGATGGCAAAGAGCTCGATTTTGGTCTCATCTGACCACAACACTTTCACCCAGTTCTCCTCTGAATCATTCAGATGTTCATTGGCAAACTTCAGACGGGCCTGTGTATGTGCTTTCTTGAGCAGGGGGACCTTGCGGGCGTTGCAGGATCTCAGTCCTTCACGGCGTAGTGTGTTACCAATTGTTTTCTTGGTGACTATGGTCCCAGCTGCCTTGAGATCATTGACAAGATCCTCCCGTGTAGTTCTGGGCTGATTCCTCACCGTTCTCATGATCATTGCAACTCCACGAGGTGAGATCTCGCATGGAGCCCCAGGCTGAGGGAGATTGACAGTTCTTTTGTGTTTCTTCCATTTGCGAATAATCGCACCAACTGTTGTCACCTTCTCACCAAGCTGCTTGGCGATGGTCTTATAGCCCATTCCAGCCTTGTGTAGGTCTACAATCTTGTCCCTGACATCCTTGGAGAGCTCTTTGGTCTTGACTATGGTGGAGAGTTTGGAATCTGATTGATTGATTGCTTCTGTGGACAGGTGTCTTTTATACAGGTAACAAGCTGAGATTTGGAGCACTCCCTTTAAGAGTGTGCTCCTAATATCAGCTCGTTACCTGTGTAAAAGACACCTGGGAGCCAGAAATCTTTCTGATTGAGAGGGGGTCAAATACTTATTTCCCTCATTAAAATGCAAATCAATTTATAACATTTTTGACATGCGTTTTTCTGGATTTTTGTTGTTGTTATTCTGTCTCTCACTGTTCAAATAAACTTACCATTAAAATGATAGACTGATCATGTCTTTGTCAGTGGGCAAACGTACAAAATCTGCAGGGGATCAAATACTTTTTTCCCTCACTGTACTTACTGTACTCAGTGCATGCCAATCTTACTCATGCAGCCAATCATAAGAAAGATCCCTCTGAAACCCCGCCCACCCAGCTTTTCAATGGCTGCAGCCAAGCTGACTGACAGTTAAGCCTTCCTGTCTCATTAGAGATTAAAGTGTCTGTCTGTTTACCGGTTGGCTCGTGCTGCACCTGAGGCATTGTGGGTCGGGGAGTGGGCATGAAGTGCTGTTTATTGGCCGAGGTTGGCGCTGAGGAACATAGCAAACCTTAAGAACCACACACAATCTGTTGAGAGAGATTTTATGTCCTGCTACAGGATGTAAACTGTGAAATGGTGTCAATGTTTTTCTGAGGAAAAGTGTAAGATTTAAAAGACTGCAAGGTCAAGAGGGAATAAGATCAAGAAGGAGAGATCATAGGACATAGTTGCATGGCTCATTACCGAAGGTGGTCCTTGGAACTACAGGGGTCCTGAAGAGGGTTCTGCCCTGGCTCCTGTTATGGACAGCTGAACAGAAGGAAGGGACACACATAAAAACAGCTATCATCACTTTCCCATCCTGGAGTTTCCCAATGAAAATGGCATGCACAGTGTAGCTCTGTTCAGTTCATTGCAGTGCAGTGCAGTATGTCTGTATGGGCTCAGTGCATTACAGTTCAGCGCAGATTGTACAGTATGGCATGAGTTAAGTACACTATGCCTGTCACAAAGATGATTCAAAAAACATTGACAGCCCTAGCAAGCATGTATCTTGATGATCACATCATCATCAAAGGCAAGATGTACTGCATGTACAGTAGACAGGTACACAGGAATACCATCTTCTCTGGTCACCTGGAATAAACACTGTGGGATTCAGAAGGAAGAATAAGAGATTACTGTATAACCTGGAATTGAATGATGATGAGGTCGTGTCTGCAGAGTCGTAAATCAGACGTCCTGTTAAAAATTATTCCAGTGCTGGTTCCTCAGAACAGGGTTCAGTGAGGAGGGGTGAAACAGACGTTTCGGAGGGAGAGTGATAAATCATCATGTCCTGTAAAGTCTTTGCAGCTGTATTAAACCAGGGTTCAGTGGGTATGACCAAAGCAGGAGTGTGTGTTCGTGTGTGTGTGTGTGTGTGTGCATGTTTGTGTGTCAAATCAAAATGTTTTTGTTACATGCGCCGAATACAACAGGTGTAGACTTTATCTTTATCGTGAAATGCTTACTTATGAGCCTTTCCCCAATAATGCAAAACAATTATAATAACAAAAAAGCTACATAAAAGAAGGAAAACATAACACAAAAAGGAGTACCAGTACAGAGTCCATGTGCAGGTGTACGAGGTAGTCCAGGTAATTGAGGTAATATGTACATGTAGGTAGGGGTAAAAGTGACTAGGCAATCAGGATAAATAATAAAATGTGTCTGTGTGTGTGTGTGTGTGTGTGTGTGTATGTGTGTGTGTGTGTGTGTGTGAAATCAAAATCAAATCAATGTGTGTGTCTGTCTGTGTCTATTGACTTACCGTGACGAGGAGGGAAGAAGGCCTGTGGCATGTTGGCCGTTTTCTGTTAGGAGAGAGAAAGAGAGTGAGAGAGAGATGGGGGGAGAGAGAGAGAGATGGGTGGAGGGAGGTGGTGGAGAAAGAGAGATCAGCCATGATACTGTATGATCATTGAACATTACCGCACTTTCGAGTCGTCACTGAACAGGCTGTCATTGTAAATAAGTTCTTAATTAGTTCTTAATTGACTTGCCTGGACAAATAAAGGTTAAATAAAATACAATTTAAAAAATGACACAACAATGAGAATATGAAGAGCTATCTACTTCACTAATTTAGTGAGTGAAATAATCAATTGTCTCTCTCCTATATATGGAAGCAGGATAGGAGCCTCGGGGACTCTATAGAGATGTGAGCAAGCTCTAAGCTCAAGCAGATCTCTATCGAGCGATCTCGAGTAGATCGCTATATATATCTCGCTCCTATCTCTCTCTCTCGCTCTTCTCTCTCTCTCTAATCTCTCTCTCTCTCTCTCTCTCTCTCTCTCACACATAACCCTATGCCCTCTTCTCCGTGTCTGATCTGTAAGCTCTCCGGCGGGAAGATCGTTATTCCAACTTTCCCTCAGGAAGTGCCAGTGTTGCGGCTGATGCTGGCCAGCTGTGCAGCTTTACGAGAGTGGGGCCGGGGGCACGTGAGACGACAGAGACACACAGTCCAGTCACTAAGCATGGCCAGAAACTCAAGGCCAATGCTTCTCTCCATCTTTCCCTCCACTCTCTTTTCTCCTCTCCTTTCTGCTCCACCTCTTTCCAAAATCCAATATTTACTTTGCCCTCTTTTTCCTCCAGTTCTCCTTTCACTCTTCTCCTCTCCTCCTCAGTAATGCAGATATTAGCTGGCTATGTTCCTCTTTACTGGTCTTGGCCAACTATGATTAGCTGCTTGTTTAGCTATTTTCCACTAAGGAGCAGGAATGGAAAGAAAGTGCTCCAAGCAGCTCTTATATTGCACTCTGTAGACTTACTAAAGACTTACTACAGCACACTACATACTAGAGCACACTACATACTAGAGCACACTACATACTAGAGCACACTACATACTAGAGCACACTACATACTAGAGCACACTACATACTAGAGCACACTACTTACTAGAGCACACTACATACTAGTAGAGCATACTATATACTAGAGCACACTACAGTGGCTTGCGAAAGTACTCACCCCCCTTGGCATTTTTCTTATTTTGTTGCCTTACAACCTGGAATTAAAATGTTGTATCATTTGTATCAACCTGGAATTAAACCTGGAATTAAAATGTATCATTTGATTTACACAACATGCCTACCACTTTGAAGATGCAAATTTTTTTTCTTGTGAAACAAACAAGAAATAACACCAAAAAATGGAAAACTTTAGCGTGCATAACACCCCCCCAGGGGTTTCCCAGTCCCTGCCACAGCATGATGCTGCCACCACCATGCTTCACTGTGGGGATGGTGTTCTCGGGGTGATGAGAGGTGTTGGGTTTGCGCCAGACATAGCATTTTTCTTGATGGCCAAAAAGCTCAGTTTTAGTCTCATCTGACGAGAGTACCTTCTTCCATATGTTTGAGGAGTCTCCCAAATGCCTTTTGGCGAACAAACGTGTCTGCTTATTTTTTTCTTTAAGCAATGGCTTTTTTCTGGCCACTCTTCCGTAAAACCCAGCTCTGTGGAGTGTACGGCTTAAAGTGGTCCTATGGACAGATACTCCAATCTCCGTTGTGGAGCTTTGCAGCTCCTTCAGGGTTATCTTTGGTCTCTTTGTTGCCTCTCTGATTAATGCCCTCCTTGTGTCACGATCGTCGGAGGAAGTGGACCAATGCGCAGCGTGATAAGTGAACATCCTTTATTTTGGATTCACCACACGAACAAAACAACAAACGATACGAAACGTGAAGTCCTTGGTTACAATACAAACTATACGGAACAAGATCCCACAACACACTGTGGTTCCCAATCAGAGACAACAAGCAACAGCTGATACACGTTGCCTCTGATTGAGAACCACACTGGCCAACATAGAAACAAATGAACTAGAATATAACCCTAGCACACAAAACACATAGAAACAACACACCCTGGCTCAACATAACAGAGTCCCAGAGCCAGGGCGTGACACCTTGCCTGGTCCGTGAGTTTTGATGGGAGGCCCTCTCTTGGCATGTTTGTTGTGGTGCCATATTCTTTCCATTTTTGAATAATGGATTTAATGGTGCTCCGTGGGATGTTCAAAATTTCAGATATTTTTTTATAACCCAACCCTGATCTGTACTTCTCCACAACTTTGTCCCTGACCTGTTTGGAGAGCTCCTTGGTCTTCATGGTGCCGCTTGCTTGGTGGTGCCCCTTGCTTAGTGGTGTTGCAGACTCTGGGGCCTTTCAGAACATGTGACAGATCATGTGACACTTAGATTGCACACAGGTGAACTTTATTTAACTAATTATAGTGAGGGAAAAAATAATTTGATCCCCTGCTGATTTTGTACATTTGCCCACTGACAAAGAAATGATCAGTCTATAATTTTAATGGTAGGTTTATTTGAACAGTGAGAGACAGAATAACAACAAAAAAATCCAGAAAAACGCATGTCAAAAATGTTATAAATTGATTTGCATTTTAATGAGGGAAATAAGTATTTGACCCCCTCTCAATCAGAAAGATTTCTGGCTCCCAGGTGTCTTTTATACAGGTAACGAGCTGAGATTAGGAGCACACTCTTAAAGGGAGTGCTCCTAATCTCAGCTTGTTACCTGTATAAAAGACACCTGTCCACAGAAGCAGTCAATCAATCAGATTCCAAACTCTCCACCATGGCCAAGACCAAAGACCTCTCCAAGGATGTCAGGGACAAGATTGTAGACCTACACAAGGCTGGAATGGGCTACAAGACCATCGCCAAGCAGCTTGGTGAGAAGGTGACAACAGTTGGTGCGATTATTCGCAAATGGAAGAAACACAAAAGACCTGTCAATCTTGGGTGAGAACCTCCTTCCCTCAGCCAGGGCATTGAAAATGGGTCGTGGATGGGTATTCCAGCATGACAATGACCCAAAACACACAGCCAAGGCAACAAAGGAGTGGCTCAAGAAGAAGCACATTAAGGTCCTGGATTGGCCTAGCCAGTCTCCAGACCTTAATCCCATAGAAAATCTGTGGAGGGAGCTGAAGGTTCGAGTTGCCAAACGTCAGCCTCGAAACCTTAATGACTTGGAGAAGATCTGCAAAGAGCAGTGGAACAAAATCCCTCCTGAGATGTGTGCAAACCTGGTGGCCAACTACAAGAAACGTCTGACCTCTGTGATTGCCAACAAGGGTTTTGCCACCAAGTACTAAGTCATGTTTTGCAGAGGGGTCAAATACTTATTTCCCTCATTAAAATGCAAATCAATTCATAACATTTTTGACATACGTTTTTCTGGATTTTTTTGTTGTTATTCTGTCTCTCACTGTTCAAATAAACCTACCATTAAAATTATAGACTGATCATGTCTTTGTCAGTGGGTGTTAAGTCCTTTAGTCATTATTCTTAAAATACAAATTAATCTAACAGTGGGCAAACGTACAAAATCAGCAGGGGATCAAATACTTTTTTCCCTCACTGTATGTGACTTCTGAAGGTAATTGGTTGCACCATATCTTATTTAGGGGCTTCATAGCAAAGGGGGTGAATACATATGCACGCACCACTTTTCCGTTATTTATTGTTTAAAAAAAAAAAATTAAGTAATTTTTTCATTTCACTTCACCAATTTGGACTATTTTGTGTATGTCCATTACATGAAATCCAAATAAAAATCAATTTAAATTATAGGTTGTAATGTAACAAAATAGGTAAAACGCCAAGGGGGATGAATACTTTTGCAAGGCACTGTACATACTAGAGTCATTTTTATTTAAAAAAAATCAATAAATAATAAAAAAAAAAAAAAAATGACATACTAGAGCACACATACTAGAGCACACTACATAATCACTAGATCACAGTAAAAGAGTAATGAGTGCAGTACTTACCACAGGCTTCAGAGGGGTCCTTGTTTTGTAGGGTTTCTGCATGGCCTTCTCTGCAAAACACAACCACAACACAAAACTAATGAACAACTGGAACTAATAGAATATATATTACTAGTATTGGACCATAAGGAATATACAGTATATATAAAATGTGATCTGTTAGATACTGACAGAGTCAACGCTGCATCAATTTTGGCCATTTAAAGGGGGAATGATTTGAGCGATGGAAGGAAAGAGGGGAAGGGTTTAGGTGACGTACCGCTCATGTTGGTGTTGTGGATCACTGGCTTGCTCCACACTCCGCTGCGTTCCTTATTGTTGGGGCGGACACCAAACTCATAGGCCATGTTAGGCTGTAGGTTGTCAATGACCGTGTCGCTGGCAGGGCACGTCTGGTAGGTCCACTTCCTGTTCCTCTCACGGTAGCGCACCGTGTAGTTCCTGGGTCAACACAGATAGAACACAACATTGTTCATTATCACACATTTTCATCAGTAGTATTATAACATTGTGTATGCTGTAGTGACTGTGTTAACTAACATGGATATTAAAGCATTATGATGGCACCGTTTTCTAGGACTGATTTGTAAGTTAAAACAATGGCTTGTTATGAAACTGTGACAGTCTGTCCACCATTTTGTGTCAGTGAATGCCATGAAAGCAAAGCTGTAAGTTCTAGTATCCTGGTTGAGAAGTGTTGTGCAGCCCAGGGGCACAGGGCAGTGACAGCCGTAACTGACATTAGAGAGTTTAAAAAGCCAGTAGGGCCTGGGAGAAGAGCAGGGTGAGGTCAAGCTTTCCAATGGCTTTTCCAAAGCTCTCTCCACTGGGAGAGAACTTTGGAAGTTTAGAGAAGTAGAGAAGAGTGTGTCAATGAGTTGATGTGTAGGATGAGGATCACTCCACCACTACTGAACGCATGTGCCCTTGCCCACTGCCTTCCACCTCCACTCAGTAACCAGAAAGACTGGCAGACGATGTGTTGCAGTTCTACCATATGTTTAAAGGTGTCTGTTGTAGATGATATGAGGGTGAGTTTGAGTGAAAAACAGCTTTGTTATTCTTCAAGCTGTGAAAATAATCTTCTTACTGTGGTGTGACTCACTGTGTGCTTTTTGGCACATCTGTGCACCCTTATTGCCCTGTATGTCTGTGGACAGACAGCAGCATGACGAACAAGCACTGGAACCTCTGTAGGCAGGTTGGGACGTGGGCTGTGTACTTGTACTGGCTCACTCTGCTGAGCGTGCACGTGTGTAGTGCGTTTGTGTGCTAACTCACCCGTCCTCCAGGCAATCGTTCATGATGTTCCCCTCGTAGGGCGTCTTGAGGAAGGTCCCCCAGGACAGCAGCACCGAGGTGGGGGTCACAGATCCAATCACCAGGTGCAGGGGCTTCTCCAGGTTCACCTTGCCTGTGGAGTCACAGGGGTCAGTTCGAAGGTCAACCTCGTCAGATTCAAAGGAATGGGCATAAATAAGAAAAGAGTCAATGTAATTTATCACATTATTACTGGTAACACTTGGAGTTGGTGCATGTGCAGTACCTGTGCACTGTTTCTTCACATCATTGACTGGGATGGGCTGGACAGCGATCAGGTACTTGGGCTCGGCATCTGGAATAGAGAGTCAGGGTTTAGCCTTGATAACAGAAGATAGGTTGTTAATTAATGTCTCTGAATGTTATTGTGTTTCAGGAGGCCCTCAATGGGATTGAGTTTGGACGTTCTCATATGTGACCTGACCGAACATTCCAGAAAGGGCAGGCTGTCTTTGACATCACACTGAGAGTGAGGTGTGTGTGTGCATCTACATGTGTGTAGCTCAGGAGGTTGGTGGCACCTTAATTGGGGAGAACGGGCTCGTGGTAATGGCTGGAGCGAAATAGGTAGAATGGTATCAAATACATGGTTCCCATGTGTTTGATGCCATTCCATTTGCTCTGTTCCAGCCATTATTATGAGCCGCCATCTCCTCAGCAGCCTCCACTGGTGTGTTGGTGTGTGTGCGTGTTGAAGGAGTCAAAGTGAGTCTGCACAGATGTGTTCTCTGTCGGTGATGCATATAATCAAACCATGACTAAAATGTGTGCGAGAGCACTCTATAGTTTCTAGTCTGTAAAGCCTCAAAGGCTCAAATCTTTGTATTCCTTTGGAAAACCTGCATGGCATCATTCACAGTTTGATTATGGTGTCAATGCCCTGGGGAATGATCATGCAATCATACATAACACACAAAACACACACACACAAACGCCTCACCGATCTCAGTCTCGTAGGGCAGTCCATCCTCTGGGAGTTGGATGAACTGTTTAGAGAACATGCTGCTTCCGTAGCCCAGGATGTAGCCCTCCAGCTTGGTGTCAGTGTTGGGACGGACAAACTTCATCACGATGGTGTCCCCTGTAGCATTGATCCTCACCTTCATGTTCTGACGTCTCACTGGGGGAGAGGAGAGCATTCAGTAAGGTCAGCATGGTGGGCACACAGACACACATTGGGCACGATGTATGCCTTTCCTCTTACTCTACATACACAGACAGAGGCTGCTTTGAATTGGACCAATCATAGTTATAAGACTGGCTTTGTGAACATATCCAATGGAAACAAGAAGCTAATTAACAAACAGAGGGCTTGTGTTTATGATACCGCCAAAACACAATGTGTTCAATGATACATCTCAGTAATCAACTGCACACACACACACACACACACACGAACATACAAACACAGACAATCTGCTGCCAAATATGTTGACATTTCCTGCCAAAATCAACAGAGCTTGAGCCCCCAAGACCACATGTGGAACCCAAGGAGCTCAGAGAAAGAGGTTACACAGGGGCAGAAACCATAGAGAGACAAAGACCCAAACTGGACAACAGAAAGAGGTGCAGTGCAGGGGCAGAAGACTGGTTTCACTGGTGTTTACTGGTAGTGTAAACAGGAGTGTTAACTGGGTGAGAGACCTTTGGCCAGGACTGTGTTTGGTATGAGAGTTTAGGGAAGGATGCAAAGTGTCTGCCTCGTTAACGCGTGAAGATAAACACAAAAAAAGATAGAAGTAAAGTAAAGGTATATGAAACAGTGGCACATATACAGTAAGTGGTCTGAGAGCATAATGATCAAACATTTTACTTCACTGTATAGTATGTGCATTCAGCGAACTGCAGTGAGATATCTAAAGGCAAACTAAAGAATCAAATGTAAATTGTTGAATGTGCTTTTGAAGAAAAACGTGCACGTACTGTCAGCAGCCACCAGAGACAAAGAGTTTGGGGAGAAATGAGGGGAAACCATGCTTTGATGAATAGCCTCAGCCTTTGCCAACTGTGTGTTTCCTATCAAGACTGCATTTGTTTTGTTTCTCCCTCTATATTTCTGATCTAACAATGAGGGGTTGGCTCTAGCTCTGGCTCCAATGAGAGGGGTTTCCAGTGTATGAAACATTAGGAAACTTCTGGCTGCGTTTCTCCAACTCCAAAACAAGCAAACATTGACTCAGTCACCTAACAGCCTGGTCCAAACCCCAACAGTTTGGCCGTTCTACAACAGGGACTTATCTGTATTTCCAGTCTAAAATGACTGGATGTTTATAAATAGACAGAATCATAACCCCAATCATCAATCTACATCAAAGGGAAACTGTTCACAACCAAGCCACCAGAATCGATAAGACGAGATTGGAATATTAGCCAACCATAACACAGATAGCTAAGGGAAGAAGAGGATTTTGTTATCGTCTTGGATATGAGGCAGAGAGGATTAAGAATGACAGATGAAATCTCCAACATAACAGAATGTTCAAACTGACCAAAGCTTTGTCACGGTTACAACTGACCTAGAGCTTGAGGACCAAATTAATATTCATAACCACAATGGAGGTCAAATGTCAACTGGCAGGAGCTCAGAATGCAGTGTGGTCATCACCTCCGGCATTGCACACACACACACACACACACACACACACACACACACACACACACACACACACACACCTAGGGCTATACTGAGGGCAGAGGCCAGCAGACCTCTAGTTAGCCTGTTATTTGTAAAGAATAAATACTTCAGCAAAAGGACATGTAGCAATTGACTCTATGACCTTGTACTGATGAACCACAAAGAAAGGGGATACCTTTGACAACCAAGGGACAGAATTACTAAGCGTTTGCACCTATGGTAACAACATATTACTAAACAATTGTGCTACCATAGTGATTACATCATTACTAAACAAGTATGAGAGCAACTCAATGTAAAATGTTTACATAAAACAATTGAGATAGCTAATTGGCTCTTCTTCAGAGAAGATGTTATGCACATGTTGTGAAAAGGACACAGTGTGTGCAGTATGCTTCATGTTCTCTAGGACACACTCTGTTCCAGGTCTCAGGAGCAATGCTCATTGTTTTATTATGTAATAGATAAATAAATCATAAGGCCTTTCATAAATGTCATCTGAATGTTATTAGAAGGTGATAACCAATGCACATTTCATAAATAGCTGCAGGGTTTGTCTGAGTGGTTACTAAGAGGGAGGATCAGTGAGATGTTTTGTTTTTATTGAGGAGAGCTCTGCCTATCACCATGTCATAAGGTCTTCTACAGCAGCTTTCTCTGCTATAACACTTCATGAAAATATCAGAAAAAAGCACCTAGCTGTAACTTAAAGGGGCAGTCAGCAGTTGAATTACAGTTTTTTCCAACTGCTTACACACGTTTTCAAAACTACGTCTCCTTTTTTCAAAAAAAAAGGAGACATATGCAAAATGCCACACATCTCCTTCAAAATGTAACACTGCATTCAAAATGCCATAAACACATGTCAGAATGAAGCATTTGCATCAAATGGCAAACACTTATTTCATAATAGTAAATTTTTGGATATACCATGTAAACACTGTTGTTCTAAATATAAAGCTCTTTGGTCTTTCATAGGCTTATATCTACATTTCAATACAATGTTCTACAGTGAAAGTAATCTGCTGAGAGGGGTAACAAGTACACTGTAAACACCAATGCAATGTAGAAACAGAAAATATTTATTAGGCCAAACATTACTGTTGTATACAGTAGCATACAACAAAACCATAAACATATGTAAACCAAAAGTATAATACAGTTTTTTCCAACTGCTTACACACAAAATCTTTTCATGTCACACGATTTTTGAAACCTCTCACTCAAAGTGCAAAACTACACACCAAATCTCCAAAACCATAAGCTATTTCTCAGCCTTTGACTCAGTTGTCAATTGCATAAAACACTTTTTTCAAAACACTACACACAATTCTCTACCTAAAACACAAAAATCTAACAGGAAGTGACTTGCTTTCCTTTTCCAAACACAATCAATCAAAATGCTACACTTATTCACCAGGACACACACACACTCCTCACATGTGCAAACACTAATTGCTTAACTGATCACTAACCAATCACTGCTTTACTGTAGTATAGGACTGTTTTGATCAATGGATGCCAACAATGGACAGAGAGCAAGAGGAGTAGGAGGGAGAGGCAGGGGACAACAACGAGGACAAATTCAAAGACGAATAGTTGGAAGAGGAGGAGGAGGAGTAGGAGGAAGAGGAAGAGGAAGAGGAAGATGAAGATGAAGAAGAGGACGAGGACGAGGGCAAAGAAGAGAAGGAAGGAGAGTCATCTCTGATGAGATTAGGGCAACACTTGTTGATCATGTGATCAACCACGGTTTGACCATGAGAGAGGCTGGACTGAGAGTCCTGCCCAACTTGAGTCGATTTACAGTGGCGTCCATAATTCGAACCTTCAGAAATGAGAACAGGTATGCAACTATCTAATGACTATTTTAACATTACAGTAATGTACTGTAAAATACGTATGACTGCATAGTGATGCATAAACATTTGTAACTCTAAGCCATCCATTTACTGCACTGCATTGAATGAATGAGGTTGGTTATCATGCTGTACTACATTTTTGTGTACATTGTTTACAGTTCCTATGCTGAACACATACTGTGTTTGAATTTTGTACAGAGTGGAAAGGCAAAGACATCATGGAGGACGAGGACGCTTGTTTACAGATGTACAAGAGACTGCAATTATAAATATGGTTTTGGCCAACAATGCAATTAGGATTTGAGAGATAAGAGAACATATCTTGAATAATGACACCATATTTAACAACATCAATGCTGTAAGCCTGTCGACCATACAACGCATCCTCCAATGGCACCAAGTGACGATGAAACAACTTTACAAGGTGCCATTGGAGAGAAACTCTGACAGAGTCAAGAATCTGCGACATGACTTTGTAGAGGTATGTATGCAACACTACTTCCAGTACTTCAGACATACCATATTTACTCATCTGTATATCCTTTTGTCTGTTACAGAGAGTATTGGAGATGGATGCCCATGTAAATGTATTTATGTGGATGAGGTTGGCTTCAACCTCACCAAAACCAGGCGCCGCGGAAGAAATGTAATAGGACAGAGGGCAATTACCAATGTCCCTGGACAGCGTGGGGGTAATATAACTATGTGTGCTGCCATCACTCAAAACGGGGTCCTCCATCACAATGCCACACTGGGTCCGTACAACACCGGCCATATGCTCACTTTTCTGGATGCAATTTACACAATGCTTGTCCCTGATCCAGATCAAGAGCCTGCTAGATTTGTGGTTATATGGGACAATGTTAGTTTTCACCGGGCTGTTCTGGTCCAAAACTGGTTTGCCACCCATCCACAATTTGTAGTTTTGTACCTACCCCCATATTCACCTTTTCTAAATCCCATAGAGCAATTATTCTCAGCCTGGCGCTGGAAAGTGTATGATCGCCAACCCTATGCCCGCATGCCGCTTCTCCAGGCAATGGAGGACGCATGTGGGGACATAGAGGAAAGCCTCTGTCCAAGGTTGGAAACGCCATGCTAGGAGATATAGTACTCCCCTCGATGTTTGGCAAGAGAAAACTTATCTTGTGATGTGGACGAAGTATTGTGGCCAGATCCAGCCCGGAGAAGAGATGAAGCGTAGCTTAGCACTGGTGACTGCCCCCCCCCCCCCCCCCCCTACCATTTCCTGGACTGCCCCCCCGGGACCCCCCACACACAATTGTGTTCTTTACTGTATTCTAAAGAATATACTTTTGGTTTACATATGTTTATGGTTTTGTTGTATGCTGCTATATACAACAGTAATGTTTGGCCTAATAAATATTTTCTGTTTCTACATTGCATTGGTGTTTACAGTGTACTTGTTACCCCTCTCAGCAGATTACTTTCACTGTAGAACATTGTATTGAAATGTAGATATAAGCCTATGAAAGACCAAAGAGCTTTAGATTTAGAACAACAGTGTTTACATGGTATATCCAAAAATGTATTATTATGAAAGTAGTGTTTGCCATTTGATGCAAATGCTTCATTCTGACATGTGTTTATGGCATTTTGAATGCAGTGTTACATTTTGAAGGAGATGTGAGGCATTTTGCATTTTGTGTGTGCAGTTTTGGGAATTGTGTGAAGAGTTTTGAAAAAAGGCGACATAGTTTTGAAAACGTGTGTAAGCAGTTGGAAAAAACTGTATTTAGAATACAGTAAAGAACACAATTGTGTGTGTGGGGTCCCGGGGGGTGCAGTCCAGGAATTGGTAGGGAGGGGGGGGGGGCAGTCACCAGTGCTAAGCTACGCTTCATCTCTTCTCCGGGCTGGGTCTGGTCACAATACTTCGTCCACATCACAAGATACATTTTCTCTTGCCAAACATCAAGGGAAGTATCTCCTAGCATGGCGTATCCAACCTTGGACAGAGGCAACCTTTATGTCCCCACATGCGTCCTCCATTGCCTGGAGAAGCGGCATGCGGGCATAGGTTTGGCGATCATACACTTTCCAGCGCCAGGCTGAGAAGAATTCCTCTATGGGATTTAGAAAAGGTGAATATGGGGGTAGGTACAAAACTACAAATTGTGGATGGGTGGCAAACCAGTTTTGGACCAGAACAGCCCGGTGAAAACTAACATTGTCCCATATAACCACAAATCTAGCAGGCTCCTGATCTGGATCAGGGACAAGCATTGTGTCAATTGCATCCAGAAAAGTGAGCATATGGCCGGTGTTGTACAGTGTGGAGGTGATGGAGGACCCCGTTTTGAGTGATGGCAGCACACGTAGTTATATTACCCCCACGCTGTCCAGGGACATTGGTAATTGGCCTCTGTCCTATTACATTTCTTCCGCGGCGCCTGGTTTTGGTGAGGTTGAAGCCAACCTCATCCACATAAATAAATTCATGGCGAATTACATGGGCATCCATCTCCAATACTCTCTGTAACAGACAAAATGATATACAGATTAGTAAATATGGTATGTCTGAAGTACTGGAAGTAGTGTTGCATACATACCTCTACAAAGTCATGTCGCAGATTCTTGACTCTGTCAGAGTTTCTCTCAAATGGCACCTTGTAAAGTTGTTTCATCGTCACTTGGTGCTGTTGGAGGATGCGTTGTATGGTCGACAGGCTTACAGCATTGATGTTGTTAAATATGGTGTCATTATTCAAGATATGCTCTCTTATCTCTCGAATCCTAATTGCATTGTTGGCCAAAACCATATTTATAATTGCAGTCTCTTGTACATCTGTAAACAAGCTTCCTCGTCCTCCATGATGTCTTTGCCTTTCCACTCTGTACAGAATTCAAACACAGTATGTGTTCAGTATGGGAACTGTAAACAATGTACAAAAAAAATGTAGTACAGCATGATAACCAACCTCATTCATTCAATGCAGTGCAGTAAATGGATGGCTTCTTCCTCTTCCTCTTCCTCTTCCTCTTCCTCCTCTTCCAACTCTTCGTCTTTGAATTTGTCCTTGTTGTTGTCCTCTGCCTCTCCCTCCTACTCCTCTTGCTCTCTGTCCATTGTTGGCATCCATTGTTCAAAACAGGTAATCTGACCTTTGACCTATTTATAGGCCTATACTACAGTAAAGCAGTGATTGGTTAGTGATCAGTTAAGCAATTAGTGTTTGCACATGAGAGGAGTGTGTGTGTGACCTGGTGAATAAGTGTAGCATTTTGATTGGTTGTTTTTGGAAAAGGAAACCAAGTTAGATTTTTGTGTTTTAGGTAGAGAATTGTGTGTAGGGTTTTGAAAAAAGTGTTTTATGCAATTGACAACTGAGTCAAAGGCTGAGAAATAGCTTATGGTTTTGGAGATTTGGTGTGTAGTTTTGCACTTTGAGTGAGAGGTTTCAAAAATCGTGTGAGATGAAAAGATATTGTGTGTAAGCAGTTGGAAAAAACTGTAATAACAAAGCGTTTCCCCGCCAATGTTTCGGTAAAAAGCTAAGGGATGGGGCTGGAGAAATGTAAGCATTCAAATTCATTGACAGAGCTATGGATGCAAGGACTGACCATCCATGATATCAAATGTATAGTTTAAGTATGTTTTGAGGCTATACAGTGTTTGTTTACATTTATTTTGTTTACAAACGTTGGAGTATAACAAGTTCTGATGGGGTGTGACTGTGTAACTAAAGCTCATGAGGCATTTATAAATTAGATTCTTAAAGAATCAATGGGTATCTATCATTAATTTAAGGTCAAAGTGGAAAATGGATGTAGCAACTGCAGATTGGCCCTTTAAACTTAAACAATCCTAAACTGAAATCCTGCCTTGCTCAAGACACGCAAGCTAAAACTCATACATGTGAATCACCACAAAAAATTGACCAAAGGATCAGCCAAACTATGTAAACACAGCCAACACACTTAACAAATACAATAAACACTTCCGAATTACTTCCACTCTGATCCCATTATTCCTCTAGGGCTGGATTGGAGAACCTCCCTTGGACAGGACACACTGAGTGGAAAAATTGACTGGAGGCGACTGGGCT